ATCAATAAATGATCATACTTGACTTTATGCCTGAGGGAAACTCTTGTTTTCTAGTGCTCAAAGGGACCTTGGCAGTGCTCAGCAAATTTCTCCAGCTTCCAACTTCTATATTTGGTTCGCCCCAGGACTTGAACCGTCAACCCTCTAACCCAAGTCCCTGCAGACTAAGCTACTGCTGCCCCCAGTATGTTGAACTGTTGTACATTTTAACAAGTTTCCTTTCATTAAACAGCCTTGTTACAGTGTCTCCTAGTCCTCAAACGTACATCTGTGGATTAATCTGTTTTGTCAGTTCACAGTTTTTGACACGTGTTGCTCTTCTGGTCTGTTTTTAAGAGTTGCTCTGAGAAAATCTTCTATCAACTGCATTTTTTCAATAATAAAAACTCTTTCCACAAGTGGAAGTGTACATACCTGGTATTATTCTATTATTGTATTTTTTCTCCCCTTATTTAACTGATGTACATATGTTTGATTTTTAACTTCTTGTTATTTTTTATAATTATATTCCTGTTTCCTGTTTTCTTGAGCTGTTGTAATGAATTTTTTTCCCCCACGGGGATCAATAAAGTTTATCTTTATCTTTATTGACATAGCAGCAAATTATCTTTATTTCTTATACTTATACATTCTTTAGTTTCCTAACATTCAGGAAACACTGAAATTGTGTTGTGAGGTTTAAAGATGGAATAAGTACTTTTTCTCGAATTTAAGATTCTTTCACTTTCACTATCATTATAATAATAAGGTATTATTATTACAGGTAAAACTACCCAATGGAATATTCAAATGTTTCAATTATCTTCACCTTGACTTGGATATAACCCTTTAAAGTAACGTTTACAATCAAACAATAGTTCAGCTTCTTTTCAATTTGAACTTTTGCTCTTGATAGTCAACAAAGTGCTGAGAATAATGAATGTGTGACATTTACAAAAACAGATCTATTCATTGTAGTAAAGGATTTATTTAATCTGCAGTGTCTTTATTTTTTAAAGTCGAGGATTTGAACACTTTCTCCACTGCAGAGCTGCAGTCTTCATACACCATGACATGAGAGGAGGAAAATAACTCCAGTAATGTTCAGTAAGAACTTATTATAATTATGAGATATTTAAACTTTCCTCGAGGACTTTCATTTACTCTTCATACTCCAACTCTCGGCCTACATCTTTTCAGAGGCACATACTGTACCTTTGACTCAACTCTATCCGATGCTTTCTTAATAAGAATGTTTTCAAATATAATTTAAGGTGAAGCTTCCAAAACAGCAAAGACATACATTCAACATTCAAGTGATATTCCTGCATCCAAAGATATTCAACTAACAGATGTGATTAATCTACATTTACCATTGGTGCTTCTATTTTCAGGTTTTGATCTCAGTATGTTTAGTTCATTTAAATTTTGAGATTCCCACACTATTATTCATTTCATTTCAGTAAAGGGTCTGAGTTCTTCTTCTTCAACTACTGGTGTTATTTTAGGAAGTTAATCCAGAGCTCCATAGATAGAATTTAATGAGGAACATTTACTCAAGTAGTGTAACTGTAATCAGTCGTTCAATACTTTCAAGTACTTGAGAATTCCTTAACTTTTGGAGAAAATGGAAAATGTGAAGGTATTGTTATAGATTAAAATAGTTAACTTCCCAACAGTTTCTATAAAAAGGCTTCGATTAGCTTTCCCTAAACCACAAAGACACAGATAGACTGCTTAAACTACAATACTTTTGTAGATTTAATTAATTGGCATTTTCAATGTATGGCTTTGAAATGTAATTAAGCATTTTTATGCTGCAGTAGAGCAACCACCTTAAAGGACCCAAATTCCTTTTTCACTGCTGGTGGAGGCTCAGAAACTCGATCCAGAGCTCCAGAGAAGGAACACAGCAGAGTACATCATGGTACTAACTGCATAAGAATAATGAACTTCATTCCTGAACTGTAACAAAGTCCAGTTAACGTCTGCCTCACTGAAACTCAGAAGGAAATAACTCACAGTATTTCTAGACTTTGGTACTTTTTCGCAGTTCCACAATGAAAAGTAAAAAAGTCTCACTTTGTAACGCTCACCTCCATCAGCATAAGTTTCTGTTCCGTATCCATCCTGAAGCCCATTATTCCACGTGCCTTCATACTTTGCTCCGCTGCCAACACTGATCCGGACCCCGTACCTCCCTTTGAAGCCGTGAGTCCATTCCCCTTTGTAAATCCAGTGTCCTTTGGTCTCTAGTCCCAGACCGTGACGCTTCCCCTGCGACCAGTACCCCTCGTAGGTGTTCCCGCTGGGCCAGGTGTAGACCCCCACCACCTCGAAGCCGTAGTTCCAGGAGCCGGAGAACTCGCCCTGGCCTTTGGGTCCGGTGCAGATGCCGTGGCCGTGGGCTTTGCCCCCCTCCCATCCTCCGCAGTAAGCTCCACCATCGTCAAACTCAAAGCGACCTCCACTCATGCCTCAACGCTGCGCAATTACGCACCGATCAGAAAGTAAAAGCTGTTTTTACCTAGCTAAAGATAAACTCTCCGTCAGCCTGACTTCACCTTCACCTGACATCAAAACTGATTGGAGATATCCTTGGTGCTGAACTTGTTGGGGTTTCTTCTTCTGGAGTTGGTTTGAGGATTTCTCTGCGTGTCCATGAAGCTCCGGAGCCGCACTGCAAACTTTATAGAAACTTTATTTTGTCGTCTTCTACTTTGATTCGTCGATTCCACTCAGGAAATCCACCGATGATTTGTCCTCCCAAAATAAACGGCTGTGTGTTACAAATTTGCATTTCAGGTACTTGAATTTGAATTATTTCTGTATTTTCGCCTTGAGAAGCCAGGGGTCTTGCATGGCTTTTTCCAGGCGGCCTCAGAGAAAAGCCCCTCTCCCCCTGTCCATTGCCACCCAGCTATCTCTTGACAGTCGCTGCTGTTGGAAATATTTTCGCAGACCTAACAAGGCGACCAATCCACACACACACACCCTTCCAAAAATACAACCCAATCCTTACTCTGCTGCTGCTGCCTGGCTGCAAGGAGCCATGCCAGAGTCTGAAGAGAACATGCCATTCAGGACTCTGCTTTCCACATAGGTTACAGTTTCAACATCCTCATTCTCTAATAGGACTATTAAACTCAATGGAAGAAATGTCTGACAGAAGATAAATCTCTGTAATGTCCCATTGTTGCTGCTGTGTGGTCTCATTAAGTTAAATGGGAACAGAATAATCTGTCTATAAATGACAGCCTTTGTGTCAAAGGTACAATTTAACAACAAAAGGCACAAAATACACCCACTCAATCATTCTTAGAATTTAAACTGCGACCATTAAATTAACAAGCAGGGTTTCTCATCACGGGAAATTGCAGCGTTGTCTGGGTATGCTTCATTATCTGGACACCCTCTGCTGGCAAATATCAGTTACTGCATCAAAGATAATTAAAATCCCTCAGGAAAAAAATGCTAAACCTTTTGCATACTAATAAAAAGCTGTGGAAGAAGTTATCAACAGCTTTAACTCAACACTAAATGAGTGCTTATACATAATTTAACCAATGTTAAAAATACAATATTACAAGTAAAAGTCTTGCCTTCAAATTATCACTTTAAGTGAAATGCTGTCAGATGGTTTTGGTTTCTTAATAGCTAAAAAAACACACCGGCTTCACCTTTATTTAAGATATTGTGTTGTGTGATAAAACTGCAGATTTTTAGTGGTCTTACATTGAGCACAGCCCAAGATACACCTGCGTAATGATCATGCTGTTTAAGTAGCATTATGATTGAGCTTCACTAGTGAAATAAATGGAGTATCTTGGAAAAGACGAAAGGCTCAGTATCACTGATTTAAACAAACTGGAAGATTTTAGATCAAAAAGATGTTGGTGTGTGAAATATGATATTCAGATGTTTTATAGAAAGTCATAAAATACAGGAGCCAAAACAAAAATGTTTCAGTTATATATTGTGTATATTATTCTTTGAATATAAACTACTGATGGGGTTTAATCCAGATGTTGTTTCTCAGGATGTTTGGAGGAATCAAGGGGTCCCAACTAGCAGGGGCGTGTCCAGATTTTTTTTTTCTGACTGTGGCCCTGACTTGTGCATGGGTGGCATGAAGTTTGTTTAAATACAAACATATGAATGAATAGCATTTACTTTATAATTTCTTAGCTTTAACAAGAGACACAGTAGAGTAGGGATGTATAAATAATTCTTTAGGTGCTCAAAAAGAAGATGTATGTCAAAAGTCACAATTTAAACTACTTTTACCCCCCGGGGATTAATTAAGTATTTCTGTTTCTGAGTTGAAAGATTGCAAGCAAACTTCTACAAACTGTCTGACTGTCAAAAATTACATTCATAAGCAACGTTTCAATATATATAATATTGCCAAATGTTTTTTGCAGATTGCTTTGCTGCCGGAGTTTGCCTGCAAAATTTCACGGACTAATTCCTGTCTCATGAAATAGACAGAGAGTTAAAGTATGTTTCTAAAAAAATTCCAGCATAAAAAGGTGCCCCATTTGAATGCACGTTCTGCCTCTGACAAGGCAATAAACCAATCATTGTTAAGGATTTGAGGGTGGCACCTGGGTTGGCCAATTAGATTTCAAGGTGGGGCCATGCCAACCCCTGGACAAGTCGACAACATATTGAGGGGGACCACATGAAACAAATATTGTAAACTGCTACTTTAATACATAAAAATATATATATAATCACAAAATAATTATGTGAAATCTAAGATGCCCAAATATAGACCATGTGAATAAAAAAGTACAGCACATAAGTACTTAACAATCTAACGATATCTGCTGACACTGTGCTTTTACAGTCAGGTGCAAGTGCATGCATGCATATTGCATATACATTTAGCACGACTGACACGAGCCATTTTAGTTTATTGCCTTTATGTCCTTTCAGAGAGCAGCTTGACCTTCCACTGACGCGGCTCTCCAACGCGCATGTTTGCGTGGAGCCCTTCGTGTGATGTAACGCGGTCGCACGTTGGTTTAATTTTTTAAGTGAATCATACATATAAAGGAAGTTATATGTGTGTGTATATGACTGTGTGGGGTTATTGTATTGGCCTGTCGGTTATTATTCGAGCGTGAGGCGGATTTCAGCACCGGGAGCTGTCCGACACATCCGGATGATGCCGCGTAAACCGACGATGCTGAGCTCGATCTGCTGAAATCCTCTCTCTCTCTTTCTCTCTCTCTCTCTCTCTCTCTCTCTCTCTCTCCTCTTCTCTCCCTCCTCGCTCCTCTCCTCCACACGCACAAAACGCTCTGTCATGGCGTCTTCCAACAATGTTACCCCCACCAACTGTAGCTGGTGGCCCATCTCAGCCATGGATGAAGACGGCAAAATCACAGACGGGGAGGAGTGCGAAGAACCGACGACGGAGCCCACCAAACCCTTCAACAAAGACAGGCTGGTTTTGTACCACTGGACGCAATCGTTCACCTCCCAAAAGGTAAGGGGGGAGAGGGAAAAAAAAAAAACAGACAGCAGGAGGCTGAAAATGGAGGTGGCTCCACGTCTCTCTGCATGATGTGATGCTGAAGCATGGAACTGCCTGTGTTTGTTTGTTATGATCAAAGCATGTTTGTTTGTTGTTGTGCACGTTTACTCGTGCACAAAGCTCCGGAATATGAATCTGATCCTGCAGCTGGGCAGATCTCCCTCATATGAGGCGTTCAGGAACGCTGCAGCATGGGGCTTGTGTTCCTCGTCATATAGCTGGATGGATCTGTGGTCAATATTCTGTTGTGTGTGTCTTTCCTCTCTGCATTCATCATCCCTCACATCTCTTCAGCTTCCATCTTTGATTCACAGGCTTTGTCTTCTTGTGGCTGATTAATGTGGCTACTACCTTAATGTGCTCTGAAACATGACATCTTAAATAATTGATTGAAATGATGAGCAAAACAAACCAAAGGCCATCTTCCCCCCTTCTGCAGCTGATGCCTGACATATGTTGTTATTCTATGGCTCCTTGAAGTCTACCTTTGACTACCTTGGCAGGGACTCACCTGTGCCTGTCCTGTTCAAAACACAGGTGTCAGGAATTATGTGGAATTTCATCATACAAAGCTTTTTAAAACAACCAGAAGTAAGGAGAAAGCTTTGTAGGTAAATGTGTAAAACAATATCTTTCCTTCACAAACAGACTGTAAAATAAAGGAGTAAGCCACCAATCTTACACATCAGAAAAGTTTACCAGTCACCAAGAGAAGCACAATACAGAAGCCAAGAACAGCCAACCCTGCAACCATGTTTTCACACCATCTTCATCCCTTGTGGGACGAATAAACGAGAATCTTAAATGTCATCTTTAAGCTCTTTTTTTGTGATTACAGAATCATTTCTACCGTAAGAGAACAATCGAGCTACTTTGATGCTTGTATAACTTTTCACAAGGAGAAAACCTAGGTGTACACTCAGGGTGATAAAGGTGCAAAAGAGATGACATATCAGACACAGAGGGTGTAAACTGAAGCAGAAGTCAAGTCCAGGGTAATCTCTGTTCTGCCTCAGCTCATATCACCAGACCATTTCACAAATGTGAGTGATTTATTCAGCCCTTCATTTCATTCTGATTTCATTATCAATGGATGCAGGCAAAAATGCCTCTGAATGACACTGACTGGATAGATTCAAAATCAGTTAAAGCGACAAATTTGCTTGAAGAAGCAGCAGGCTGCGAAGCTAGTCAGCTAGATCCAACATATTCATGTGCCTTTAGTTCAACAATAGAAACAGATGTTTGGCATGACGTGATTTAGTTTATCTGTATGTGATATGAAACACGGTCTAGTTGACGTGATAGCAGAATGAAGAAAGCAGCATTCCTGGTTGTTTATCAAAATGCATCAACCTATAGCTGCACATAAATCATATTATCATATTTATTATTTGATGAATGAATGAATGAATGGGGATTGACCTAACTAGACCAGGACAGCTGGAAAACAACAACAAGAGCTTGCATATTTTTCATGATTTTTAGGCTAATTCTGCTTGATTCTATATCTTATTTTACATTTCTTTCTGTGGTATTTTTGGGGTTAAATGTTCTTATTATTAGACTTAAGTGCACACATGACATCACTTAAACAGAAGCCATTATAATTGAACACAATACTCGTTCAGCTGAACACAGAAAAACTACACCTCTGATTTTAATGTACCAGTGTGGATAATGATGACACTGTAGCTGTGTTTCAGTTAAATATAAAAAATGATTATCATTCCCTTTAGAAGTTTAAAATGTCCTCATTTTTGTCCAGTCTTGATTGTCTACTGTCTGGGAACATCTTCAGTGTTTGGTTCTGTGTGCCCAGCTGTTATCAGATACAGCTGCAAACATCAGCTGGTTAAGCATTTGCATCCAGTTTAATATTTGATACCTGCATAAAATGCAAAAAACCTAAATATTTTCTGGTTCTTTTCTCTTACTTATTGCAATTACCTGCACGCCTTTCAGGTTTAAGGACATCCCTTTAGGCTCTTGGGAGTTTTTGATGGACATGTGTCAGTGCATGTCTTTGACTGAACTAATTAATCATGTCCCCTCGACTCGTCTGTGGACTCGCCTCTTTTGACATGAGCTGATTAATGGGGGTTGTTCAAAGTCCCTAAAAAGCATAAATAAGCGATATTAGACTGTTTAAAAAAGAAATGACCATCCTGATGTAAAGATACGGGATAAACAACGGGACATGCAGCTGAGAAAAGTGTTGTCACTTCTTTCTACAGATTTAGTTTTCTTCACTACATAGACAATCTCATAATAAAGCAAATCTACAGGAGAGTGGCACACAAGCTCCTATTGGTGCACAGAGCAGAAAGAGGCGGGAGTTAGTAGTGTTGTAACTTTAGCAGAAATTCAATCTTCAGTGTGATTTAGAAGTTAAAATCAAACAATATTTATACCTGTTACGATACCACGGCCTCAAAAATAAAAGTTCTGGCAACCAATTGAGAGTGATGATGCTTGTTGTAATCCGTCTAGCACACTTTGCTGGTGACAGCCAGAAAAAGAACTGCTAGTTTAATTCAATGATACTCTAATAAAATGCTATTTGACTGATGGATGAATCTAGTAATATCGGTGCATAGCTGCAGAAAAATTTGGTGATAGCAATAGACACTTAATCGGCCAACTTAATCGGCTGGCTGATTAATCGGTCAGGCTTTATTTTTGACAACCTTAGGAGTTAAGAAGGGCGAGTATGAAAGTATTAATTAGCCTGTATGAGTTTGACACTATAGGATTAGTTAACTATTCCTCTCATGAGAAGTGGCTAAATGCATCCTCCGGCCCTGCATATTTCCCAGCATGCACTCAGAGCAGCTTCAGCCTCTATGAACTGAAGGCTGCTGTTTCAGTATATTTCTCTCCACTTTAGATCCACATCCTTGAGTTGATGCTCAGCTTGAGGTTGGTATGTCACTTATTAAAGCCTCCATTGTTGGCTCAGGGCCACTCGAGTCTGAGACGCTGATTGTCACTCAGCAGAAGGGTAAACACCGCGCTCACTGTCACGATTATCACTTCAATCCTGAAGCCGCTAAAGTGACTCCACCATCATGTGTGTCTCTGCTGTCAAGGAATTGACTATTTTGGGGCACGCATATTTGGAACAATGCACAAGGAAAGTCGCAGCACTGAAACGCACAGCAATCCCATTAAAGTTATTTTGTAACAACGCCGTATGACAGTTATTGTTATGCAAGCTGATGCGTGCTTTAAATGCCATGCTGGGGATTGCTTTCATGAGATTAAGAGGCCGAGCACCGGGTTTGCCGACTCCGACAGAATTGAACTGAATCCTTTTGTGACTTGGTATAAAGCAAATGCTTGAAACACGACTGGTCACGATGAACACAAAGCATCTTTGCAGCACTTTGACAGACAGTGTTATATTTAGTCGATCTTGTGTAACTTGAAAAACTTGTTTTTTTTCACTTGAAAAGACCAAAATGAATCTGACTGCAAACACTTTGAAAATGAGACATTGAGGAAACGATAACGAGGGAGGAATCACTACTCTTTCTGTAGACGGTATCATCAGTGGGATTATTTACACGTCTGTGTATGCCTCAGCACGTTGGTGAGGAAAGAGGAGAGCCGAGCAGCTGAATTTCTCCTGCACTGCATTTTCAAGACTCACTGTCACTGTGCTACCATTGCCTTAGGTAGGTCACATAGCATAGTCATATAATTCAAGTCAGTAATGTACTGTGAACACATGGTGATATGAAAAAAGATAAGAGACATATGGAGCTTGATACCTGGAGAAGCAGCAGGTTTAGAGGCCAGCTTCACAGATCAATACAGCACTGGCAACCCTGAAGGCCAGCAGGTTAGAGATTTCCTCTTTGAATACACCCGCTGTGACACTGCTGCTGTTTTCTGTGCGTGCAGAGAGGGCAGTGTGTCAGCACGCTAGCAAGAATCTGCTCAGTCATTTAAGAACAAACTTCTTCATGAGATCATTGGAACTATTCATCAGTGGAAAAACACCTAAAAAAGTGGCTTTATATTCACTTGAGTAGTGACAGTTGTAACAGACTGATATAGTTGAAGTAGGAGGAGTTTGTTTTGTGCTGCCCCAAGCAGCTGAACTACTTGGCAACATTACTGATGGGTGACTAATATTGTTATATAACATAAAGCAGTGAGTGTGTTGTTGTGGGCATCACTGAGGGAGACCTCAGCTGTGTAAGACTGGGACAGAAAACGTTTGACAGTTTGATATAAAAATCTAGGATTAAATGAGCAATATAGAGCCACACTGATGGAGGTGAAAAAATCTATTTAACTTCTCTGCATCATAGAGTTGTCCCTGTTGTCCTCAGCAGTGGTCATTGCTTGTTGTGTCACTAAATCATTCAGTTGTATTTCATAAAGCCTGGTCATGTTCAGCAAAATGCCAGTTTTTTCCTGCTCTCCCCCAAAGCATGCCAAATGTAGCACTTTATAGCCCAGGTGTCATCTCCTTTCATTAATCTTGTTCCCGCTAATAGCTCTCTATGGACCTTGGTTTATCCTTCATCCTGCTAGCAATGCATCCCGACTGTCTGGGAAGGATTTTGGTCAAACTAGAGCGCGCTGTAAAGCTTCTCATTATCTTGCAGGACCACCCAAACACTAAGCATATCCATGTAATAATACAGCCGTCTTGGCTGTTTTAGGTAACTTTTCAAATCATTATATTTTCTGTTTTGTGTTTTTTTCAAACTACAATCATACGTCTTCTTTTGTTTTTAAGGGAAAAAGTTCCTAAATTCATCCATTGCATAACAACTGATGCACACATATCTAAGTCTAGCATGCTGTCAGTTTCAGTATTTTGTCTTAATGTCCTGTGTCAAAGGGAATACAGTGCATTAAACGACTGCTTTTATATCTCATCCCTCTTCCTCATTAAATGGAGCATCATTTCATGCAGCATATTTTTCTGATTGCAGGTACGTCTTGTCATAAACGAGAAGGGTCTGGTCTGCGAGGAGAGGGATGTGAGCTTGCCCCTGCAGGAGCACAAGGAGCCCTGGTTCATGAGGCTGAACCTGGGAGAGGAGGTTCCCGTCTTCCTCCACGGGGAGACCATCATCAGTGACTACAACCAGATTATAGACTATCTGGAGAAAACCTTTGTGGGAGGTAAGGAGGAGTAAAAAAACAAACTACTACAAACCAGCTCACACACATTTAGCAGAATCTTTTTGAGGCAGTTGTTGCTAATCCAGCATACAGAAAATATCAGGCTGCATTTTTCCAGTTTGGGTTGCAAAGACTATTGGAAGCAGTTCGAGGCCATCTGTCGTTCTTGTACAGTGTGTGTCTGTGTGTATAGTACTGTGAAACTGTGTTACAACATTGTGTCTTTGCAGCAATGTCACCGAGATGGACTCCTATGATTAGATTAGATTAGATGAAACTGGAATGATCTCTTGAGGGGGAAATTCACGGCAATCGAGGACGAGACACAGATACAAACAAGACGAGTGAGGGACTTTATAATCAAACAAGCGATTGTCATTAAATCACCGAGTGCGACAAAGAAAAGATCTGTCAATATATGAATCCAGCAGTGTGATGAAGTGGCTCAGAAAATGTTGTCTACTGCCTCTGCCAAGAGTAAGGAAGCGCTGAGATGAAACACTTAATCCTGTTATTATCTGTGTGTGTGTGTGATACATTATCTGTGGGCGTGTGTCATATAGACTTGTCAGCCGAAACATGATGTTATGTAAATGTTCAAAGAGCCTTGAACCAGTGAAGGCCTCAGGGAGGTCTTAGTTTTAGTTGTGGTCAGCGACGCTTGAAATCTCTGCAGAAGATCTGGTTCACTGCCTGCTCGATAATAAGAGGCTGAGGAGGCAATAACTGACCCTGGTGTTTGATGTCTTCTTCTTATCCTGACCCGATAATTTGAGATTGTTTTATAGTGTGCTCTATGCAGGTTAATGCATAAGTTTAAGGTAAAGGATCAATTTATTTTTTGTTTTAGTGTTTTTTTTGTGGTGTGTTTAATGTCAAATAATTGCATCACATGGGTTAAAACCAGAACTCAAGCTAGACATGCTTTTAGCCAGAAGCTAATCTTCAGGATCAAACTTACAGACGTGCTTTTCTTCAGTGTAAATGCCTAATGCATGCTGGCGAACTGGGCTGCAGCTGGCCTGGAAAGTGCAGATGCCTCAGAAAACAGACTCCTATACCATTTCAGAGCATGCAGTGTGATGCCAACTCAGAATACTTTACAGTGTTGTTGGAGGTGCCGCAAGAGGCTCCGGTTATGTGAAATTCTATCCTCGACAGTCAGACACACCTCTTAAAGTTGCTCTTATACTTTGAGCATTGTTCTTTACTGTTGGAATTTTGCTGCAGCAGGACACCTACAGGATCTCTGCATGGCATGTCCAGACCGGCATGCTGATCCCGGGTCTGCTTACTCAGCTTTCTGGAGCTCTGCCAGGTGCAGCTCCACCCTTTCACAAGCACCTCTGAACATCCTCAAGCAAGCCAAATGACTATCTCTGTTCTGTCAGGTTCGTCCCTGCGCTGTGCTGGCTGTGACCCTGCACTGAGATAAAAGCTCACTCTGCTCCGTCTCATCCTTAAATACGGAGTCTCAGCAGCAGGTCATTAAGTTGAACACCCGTCCTTCCCCCGGCCGAGCAGCATGCAGCCAGAATGATGAGAGCTAATGGAAGAATCGGACAGCAAAATATTTCAAAGAATATATTTACAACTCTGGTTCCCCAGTATTTTTAAAGGACTAATTCAACACTTTGGAAAATCGGCTGCACAAAAAAAACAAAGTGTGAGGAGAGGTTTAATGCTGAGGAGTTAGATAAGAAGATCGATACTACTCTGACATCTGCCTGCTTGTATCGAGCTTGGTCCAGCAGCTGTAGCTTTCATGCGCTTAACGTAAAGACTGGAAACAGGGAGACAACTAGTCTTAGTCTTGCATCTAACAAAATCCCTATAAGAGCTTCTCTAAAAACCTCACAGTGTAATGTTTTGAGAGTTGAATCCCTTTGAAATTGATCGTCTATGAGCCGTTACCTGACAATCAGCTGAGGCGGTAGGATGTAGCGACAGAATAATTAACATTTTGACAGTTTTTAAACAAAAAAATGATATGCTAATAATTCTGCTCAGAGCATTTGGTTCCCTTAAGTCCAGCATGTCAGCTGTTTCTACCTGCCTCAGTTTATCTGATAATACTTTCATTAATTAGTGATGAAGAGTGTTACATAGTCTGTTAGCCTGGAAACTTAAAGTTTAGTCGCATGTTACAAAGTAGATGCAGAGATCATCATGTTGAAGTTTACTAGTCAGAAATGATTTATACATATACAGTAATATACCCGCCCTACTGTACTTCCAATGGCTGTTAATACTCTGCTGTGTTGGCTGGAAAGGCCTTTATGGATGAGCCTTTATGAAGCCAGGAGAGGTGGTCTGAAAAAGTGCTGGGCAATAAATCCAGTTTCAATTTCAATTACGATTTTGGCTTCCCACAAACATGAAAATAAGATTATCGAGATTAAAGGGCAAGGCAAGTTATCGCACAATTCAGCAACGAGGCGTTTCATAGTGCTTCACACAAGACAGCAGAGCATCGTCGTTATTTTACAAGTTAAATACTCAACAAACAATGTGCCACATGTCGTGTTGGGCTCATTTTGTCTGTAGCTTTTGTGATGTGTGTTATTTATTTGATAATTATTGCTTGATTTTTTAAAGTGTTCCGAACGTTTAAGTTTGATAAACCCATAGGATGCAGATCCAAACGTAATGAGTCATTGTGTTTAATTTCAACATCAATCAAAAATAATCGTGATTATGATTTTTGCCCTAATCTGACGCAGGCCTGCACAATATAAGAAAAATATGCAACATGAAGAAGTATGATAAATAAAAAAATATTAACAAAAAGTTTATCTTCAACTCACAGCTCTAGTCTCTCTAATTCTTCCTTTACACATTGCACATGTTTGCAACATATTGCTCCTGAATCTTAAATAGTTGAATTGGCACCAAGTAATCTGAGAGTAGCTGACAGCAAGCCTGAGCTTCATCTGACTGCATCACAATGGTGGGAGAGCTTGGCTATTATGCAAGACTTCATCCAATGGGTGAGATGAACAAATGCTGGGTTGGAAAGCTTGTTGATATAAAATCACTTTTTAAAAATGTAATGCACTTTTGTGATTTATTGTGCAGTGCTAGTATTAAGAGCAGCTGATGTAGGTTACATCTTTGTGACAAAGCATACTTTCACACCACACATACTTTCATTTTCCAACCGAATATATTCTTTAAATATTTAAAGCCTGCAGGAGATATTTTTCTTATCTCCAATTGCTTCAGTATTGTCTAAATGTCATGCTTTGTGAGACAGGGTTTGTGGTGTGTAACCGTAACACAGAGCAGGAGGTGTCATCCGTTACCAGGTTACCGTGCATTGTGTCTGTGTGACAGCTGAAGCACAGAGGATTGAATTATTTTTGGGGAGCAGAGAGCTTTATAACAGTTGCTTAGAAACCTCAGGTGTTCTGTCTGAAATGAGGCAAGAATACCAGTATGCAACATGGCTCTACATTTCTACTCAGTTGCTTAGTTTCAGATCATATAATTATTTTTTCGGTGCAAGTTTGTCCTCATAGTGAGATGAGTTTTCTTTGCTGTTTTTACATCCGTGTCTCTCTCCTGCAGAAACGGTGTCTCAGCTGGTTCCTGACGCAGAATCACCTGTCCACGAGCGCGTGCAGCAGTACCGTCAACTACTCGACGGTCTGCCCATGGACGCTTACACACACGGCTGCATCCTCCATCCAGAGCTCACCACTGACTCCATGATCCCAAAGTACGCCACTGCAGAAATACGGAGTAAGTCCAGCCTGCACAACGTGTTTTACAGGCAACACTGTCCGTCAACAACATGAAGAACACTGATTGTATGTATCTTAGTTCTGAAAATCATATTTATAACATGCTTCACACAAAGCAGCAAACTGATATCAACTTAAAATCAATTATAATATTCAATCAATAGATCCAAATTATAATTATGATAATAAAAAAGATGAGACAGAGCCGTTCAAACATCTCTTATACAAACTCTCATAAAACCACATTCATACTATAGCCTGACCGATTAAACGGCCAGCAGATAATATCGGAAGATATTTGTTTATCCAGTGACTATCGGTATCGCCTTATTAATCACAGATATAATTAATCACAGATATAATTAATCACCAATATAACTAGATTTATTTACCTGTCAAATAGCATTTCATTGGAGTTTTACTGTACTACACTAGCAGTTCTGTTTCACCAGCAGAGGGTGCTACATGGATTACAACAAGCATCATCACTCTCCATAGTGTCAAGCGTTGATGCACGTACATGCACAGTTACCTTCCAGTTGAGTGACCATCTTGTCTTCATTATATATCTTTTAAGTGTTTGATCCACATTTGAGTGATCAAGCAATAAATGTGTTTCTATATCTATCTCTACAGATTTCATAATATAATATATCGGGATTCTCTCCCAAATATCAGTGTTGATATTGGCTCCAAAAATCTCATATTAGTTGGGCCCTAGTTCATACTATTGTTCCTAAAAAACACAGAGAGTAAAAAGACTCATAACCATCTGGTCTCTCAGTAAAAGCAAAACAGAAACAGTCTGGACTATAGATAGTCGAAGAGTGTATAAGCAGAAAACTCTTAATTCAGCACATTGTGGTGTCAGATCTATACATCCCAGCAGCTGATAAGAGAACTCACAGTCTGAACTCGAGTCTTCCTCTTTCCATCAAGTAATGGCCTCAGTGTGTAAATCAAAGCAGGGAGATGGACCGAGCAGCAGAACGGCAGGAATTCACAACAAAAAACTGCAAAATCTTTTCAAATATTAGCCGCACACTGTAGTTTTGAGTGTGTTGTTGTTGTTTTAACACACTTTGCTTAACAGGAGTATTTAATGGTTTCAGTGGGGACTATTTTTAGTGGAGAATAAACACTCTTGTGTGTATTTACAGCAGCAGGAGACGTTTGTGGGATTGGCACAAAATACATTAGTGTGTGTTCAAAATAAACTAGAGTGTGTTCAGGTCATGGTAAAGAAGGAACATGCCACCCAGTGCAGGATTATGGCTCATTTATGTGATATATGACAACATACTTGCTTTCATGAATTACACTGTATTTTGTTCTTGTTCATTCTTTGTTGTAGAATAAACCAGACTTATCACAACTGACTTTTGGTCTACTTAGAACTAGCTTTCTGCACGGTCCATATCTGCTTGAAGAATGAAACCAACTGAACCCTAAAGTGTCTGTTCTCTTCACAGTATGAAACACACATTATGATCAGGAAATGTAGTATCTTACATCTCAAGACTAGCTTCTTTGCATTGCATACAAGTTGTTTTTTACGCAATCAACTTTGTCAAAATAACCTGCTTTAAAGTATACAGACTATAAGACACTTTGTGTGTTTGTGTGTGTGTGTGTGTGTGTGTGTGTGTTCAGGACACCTTGCCAATGCTGCGACAGAGTTGATGAAGTTGGACCACGAGGAGCCTCAGCTGACAGAACCGTACCTGTCCAAGCAGAAGAAACTCATGGTGAGTCTAAGGATCAATGTTTGTAAGTTAAAATAATTAATAAATCCCTTTACCTGAATACACTGGATATACAATCAATGTGGGAGAACACCCTTTAATCTTTATTTCTTTCATTTTAATTTTGAGTTGATTACATTTGTAATGTTGGGATAATTGTAATTTTAGTATCCTGCATATTAAACAGGCGATTCAAGTAAACTTCGTGATAGAGCAACTTTTCAAACTGCCAGGCACCAGCTGATTAGATTATCAAACATTTTAGCCAAGGTACATTTCATCATGAAATGCTCATGCAATAAAACATTGCATCAAACACAAAAATAAATGAAATAAACTAAAACACAAGATTTAAATCATAGTCAGCAGAAAAAGCGCCTGTTGTTTTATAAAACACTAAAGTAAATAAAAAATACAAACCACGTATTTGCATTTAATTATTATTATTATTATTATTATTATTATTATTATTATAATAATAATTAATATTAATTATTTTTATTATTATTTTTATTTAATTATTTAATAATAACCACGTATTTGCATTTATTATTATTATTATTATTATTAATAATAATAATAATAATAATTCATATTAATTAACTGTATTATTATTATTTAATTATTTAATAATAACCACATATTTGCATTTAATTATTTAATTATAATAACAACAACAACAACAACAACAACAACAACAATAATAATATTAGTTAATTTTAATATTATTATTACTATTATTTAATTATTTAATAACATATTTGCACTGACTAGAATCGAATATGCGGTTTCGTCGAACGTTGCCATGGAAACAGCAACAGACAAGCCAAGCAGCTATGCGCTAGCTAGCTGTAGCTAACCGAGGCACGGGAGGACAAGTAGCTTACACTCACAATACTGACTTACGGTGTTTATGCAGCTCGTCCAGATCTTCTTCTTCGTTCCTGTCCTCCTCATCGTTTATGTTATCCTCCATGTTTGGTAAAAAAATATATATATCCACAACGTTAGCATCCCATTAGCTGAAATTAGCGCTTTTGTGACCCGGGTCGTAATCAACATATTCCAATCTTCTTCTTTGTTTTTCATTGATTACAAAAGAAACAGAGCTCATAGTAAACTGATTGGTACGACGTTTCTCTATTTCACCGGATCGACTGAACAATAAAAGTGATTTTTGGGCTTAAAACGTTTGTTTATGTTGTAACAAATTCAAAACAAACGAAAGCGACACGAACTGACCAATCACACCACAGAAGAAGGTCAACGGTCACCGTCACTTGCGTCACTGAAACGTCATCATGTTGGCTAACCTATTTTTTTTATTTATAAATAATAAATAAAATAATAAATATTTCATTTTAATAGCATTTCGTTTCATATAGATGTAAGCCATTTTATCTTACACGTATTTGTAACTCCAAATCTCTCAATAAATAAAAAAAAGTAAAGGCCATCGACAGACAGTGGTGAGCTAAGATCATTTTTATCTTTATTTTCAGAGCATTTCATTCACTGATTGCTGTCAGAATGTGAATGGACTTTTTTTTAAAATTGTAAACATTTGATCAATAATGTTTTTTTTAACAATTTTCAGGCAAAAATTTTGGACCACGATAATGTGAATTACCTTAAGAAAATTCTGGGGGAGTTAGCGATGGTACTAGATCAAGTGGAGGCTGAACTGGAGAAAAGAAAACTAGAGTATCAAGGTATGCCAAAAATATTTAATACCATACAATATAACAACACCAATTCTTTCCAGCAATATCTCAACTGAATGTTTGTTCCCTTGCAGGTCAGAAGTGTGAGCTGTGGCTATGTGCACCTGAATTTACACTAGCGGATGTCTGCCTCGGAGCCTTGTTGCACAGGCTCAAGTTCTTGGGACTTTCTAAGAAATACTGGGAGGACGGCAGCCGACCCAACCTGCAGTCCTTTTTTGTGCGTGTGCAAAAACGCTACGCTTTCCGCAAGGTCTTGGGCGACATCCACACGACGCTCCTGTCGGCGGTCCTACCCAACGCCTTCCGGATGGTAAAAAAGAAGCCACCGTCCTTCTTCGGGGCCTCTTTTCTCATGGGCTCCCTGGGAGGGATGGGCTACTTTGCCTACTGGTTTTTAAAAAAGAAATACATGTAGTGAATGCCCTCTTGTTGTGTTAAATGTCTGTGTATTTGTGTGATGTTTCAACTTTTCTGTAATGTTTTATGACTGCAGGAAAACATAATGAATCTATATAGAGAACACTATTACTTACCTGGGTGAACAAAGAATATTAAAACATTCCATAATAAGAAATCCTTGACAGCACATTTTCTGGGAATCAAGGCCTTCATCCACTTTCATTTTCTGGCAACTTGCAGCTCTCAGTGTCGGCAAGTCCTTGTTTTAACTTAAGTTGGAGGCATGCATCAGGTCCACTTTTACTGAAAACTTTTAAGTAGAAACCCAGAAATGTTAAACACAGTAACACCAACAGGGGTTAACTGACCTTCGCATGCCACTATTATAGTCATTACTCATCGTACCTGCTCCTCACTCCTCCCATCAGCCTGAGGTTTAACCAGTAAAACCGCAGGAACACGTTCATGACAAAAACTCTCTGAAAAGTGCTGTGCTGCCAGAAACTGCCAATTATAACCATGAAAGGATGGAGGCAAACTGTAAGGGAGTAGTTTGACATTTTCGGGAAATTATTCTCCTCACTTTTTGCAGAGACTTGCATCTTTGAGTTGATACCATCTCAATTTCTGTCCTTTTTTAAATGAAGCTACAACCAGGGGATGGTTAGCTTAGCTGAGGAAAAAGACTGGAATCAGGGGCGATACCTTACCTGGCTCTGCTTATCGCTGCCTAGCTGCATAAGTTTGCTAAAAATGAAGCTTGAGTTGCATTGTAGCATTTTACAACTGCAGAATAAATCAGAATCTAACAGTAATCTGCTGACTGCAACCAATTAATGTCCATTCAGGGCTACTGTAGAAGAAATGGCTGTCAAACATTACATGCTCCAAGACAGATGACTCACTCCCTCTGTAGATATTAAGGGCTTATTCTAAGGACACAATATACAGTTTGTTATAAAACACATGTGAAGATATACTTTGGTAAAGTTTCAGAAATAACTGAATATATGGGCTGGCTGCTCTTTTGATTTCCCCCCTTCAAAGCAGCATATACGTGTAGCTAGGCTAACATAGCTGAGAACAACACAATGAGTCTCTCTCATAAAATAGCAACTTTATACTCAAAATATTACAACTTGATCCTCCGATGACTTTACTAATGTAATATTAAGGCTTAATTCTCTTAATACTTTGTCTGTTCTAATGACTCGTAATAAGTATTCTTCACATTTTACAAACTGAGAAAGGAGATTAAAACTACTACGCATGTTTGCATCTTGGAAAAAGAGCTGCAAGAGAAGCACCACAACGTGAAAGTAACAATTTGTTAGGGTCTGTGGTTTAAGACTTGACCCCTTAATCTGACCCCGATTGGGAGCACATAACCCTCATTTAAAAAGATTTATGCTTTTAGATGTTTTAGTAAAGAAACATCACTCATTCTGTCATTTTGTGAAAGTGTGTCCAGTGTTCATGCTAAGCTAAACCAACAGAGGAAGTAGCTTCATATTTAACAGACAGACAGGAGAGTGGTATCAATCTTGAAATGCATCTTTTTGCAAAATGTGAACATGTGAATTTCCCCAAATATCAGACGATATCTTTATGAAACTGTACACTTACACACACTCACACACACACACGTGCGCTTGGAGTCCGATTATTTAGAGCACCACAGATCACACGGCACACACTGATCCACTCTCACTCTTCTTTGTCGCGGGAGCTGAGGTCCAGGCTGTTTGAAAAGTTACACTTGGCTGATGTGGTAGTAAAAAAAATGATAAATTCTGCATCTTCTTGGCACAACAGTGTAACAGTAGGTTTAGGATGTATATTTCATTGCATGGAGTTATTTCTTATTGTGTAAGCGTTTCGTGACAGGTGGAGGAGTTTTGTGTCGCCCAGAGGCAGAATTTATGATCACTACCGAGCACAGAAGACGCTAACTGTAACCTTTGAATCACCTGCACTGTACAGTGTGTTGCAGACGGCCCCTCAGCCATACTTAAAAAAAACCCCACTGCTGTTTGTTTGTGACTCCTCCTGACAGATGCAAGATTGTTTTCACAGATAGATATTTTTAATTAAACAGTGTCTCATTCATTTCATTGAGCTTTTAATGAGCTGAAAGGTTAAATAAGGGGAGCAGGGGAGGAACGCTGACTCATCTGGATGGCTGAAAGGCGAAGGAAAAGCCTTTCACTCCTTGTTGTTTGTTGTGTACTTTTCTCGCTCCTCACTCTGGTCACCCTTAATGGGAGCATTTCAGCTTTTCTTAGTCACTCCTCCGGGGCTTTAAGAAGTTACAATCAGCTCCTGCAGCGTGCGCTCTCATTCTTGCGAGGTACTGGCTGGAGTTGTAAGCTGCTTTTGTTTTGTTTTTTTTACAGCTGCTGATACAAGACATTCTTTCAGTTAAGGACTCAGTCATTAAAGGGGGATAACTGTGTTGAGCCTCGGACAATGTAGGTAGTTTATGTTTCCAGTTAGGAGGTCTTTTCTCCTGCTACATACAGGAACACGTCTCTGCAGGTGGAGTTAAGCAGCAGATGATGCAGAACATGTTGAACCAAAGACGACGATCAATGCTCCTCTAATAGCAGCATGTTGTCGCTGCGTCACATCTGCTAATAAATCAGATTTTATTTCAGAGAACACAAGTGCAGAAGTATCGAGGGTTCACATGGAGCGTGTGTTATAGCCATATAGACTAAACTATTTGATATCAATCCTTTATGCCTGTGAAGAAGAGATTTAAGATATATGCATTCAAGGACACAATGAGGTTTTTATGGTTCCTGTTCTTGCATGAACAGCGGTGATGATGTACCTGTAAATGGCACAAAAGAGAAGATGTAGAAATGTAAACCTGAATTTTTGCTGAAGAAAGTAAGAGGACATTGAAGTGTAAATTACTCTCTCCTGTTGTGTTTTAACCATCGAAATGTTATTTATGTTGATTTTCAACGCTCAGATATTCATGAATTTTTTGGTTTATTCTTTTGGGAACCGTCAACATATACGTCATAACCAGCTGATCATTGTGGACACTCGGTACATTCTCTGCGAGCACTTCACGTTACAACTCCACCGCTTCTTCTGACCAACACAACGCAACCTGAGGGGGGACGGACGGAGCTGTGACTTCTTGGAACACACCAAGAGTTCAAGTCGAGAAATCCTAGTTGTGATTTGTGGCCATTATATTTCACTATAGTATTTTTTTATTTTTTAACTTTTTATTTTTTATATTTCTATATATGCATTTATTTATGGTGCTTTTTATGATGTTTGTTCATGAGCCTTAATTTATTCAGTTGCCATCAAAGACAAAATAAATAACAAAAATGGAATACACACTTCCTGGTTTTCTCTTTTATTGAAATGTACCAGTTACCTGCCTGTAGTTACTACATTACCTGCTCTGAGGAGCCTGTAGTTACTACATTACCTGCTCTGAGGAGCCTGTAGTTACTACATTACCTGCTCTAAGGACTCAGCTGCAATCTCACTTGTTCCTCCCGGGGAATTAAAAATGAATAAACAAATCAAACTTTATAAAATAAAAAGCAACACACTAAAAGATTAAATCTGTTCTCTGGTGGTTTTTTTTTTGTTGCAAACTTTACTCAAATGATAGATCAACATTTCTTGGGTTCTATTTTCACACATTTGGTAAACGAGTGAGTATCTATGGCAACAGCACAGTATACGTGCAACGGAGAAGGCACTCCATTGTCCTTGTTAATCATGAACACACATTTAACAGATTTTTGAGACACAACGCAGCTCTGTGGCACCGAGGAAAACTACGAACAGGCTTTGGTGATATCTGAAAATACTTCTGACTTCAGGTGTGGTCTTTTCTCTGTGTTGTTGACAAAAGATTACAACTGAAAATAAATTAGCAGATTAATCAATCAGAACACCAACAGAACATTTGGCTAGAAGCATGTTTTTGTTGATTATAATAAATCATAAAAGCTGAACAGGTCTTCTTGACCTTCTTTGAAAGTCATCTGAAGTTTTTATTCTGGCATTAAGAAAAGTGTGAAGGATATTTTTCACTTTTTTTTTAAATAAGCAGCAAACCATTAGGAAGATAATATATTAGAATCCTATTATTCAAACTCTAGTTTTTCTGTTACCATTACATTAACCCCAAACCATGTATAATAAGAGATGCAAAGCACACATCAATCCTACATGTAGGATGAAATGTGGGTCCACTAGAGTCTGACTTTGTTCTGATCTGGTAGTGTAGTAGTTTCCTATAAAAACAATCAGTATCTACTTAACATTGGTCTGAAAGTTTACATATTGTCAGTGCTATGAAATTGGAGCTGTAAACATTCCTAAGTGTTCCCTCACAAACATCTAAAACTGTGATTCCTCTGAGTTAAACACTATAAGGCAACGGACTGGGAGACAAAGGACGGTGTAGCATGCGAGCCTCGGAGGCTGAAGGTGAGAGGCTGAAGCTGGGCAGCAGAGCGGCGTCTTGCTTTTGTCTCGGATTACCAAGAGTCATTTTGGGAGCAGCAGCTGCCAAACACCATGGAGGAACTGCAAGCCGAGTCATCCTGTACAAAATGAGCCCCTCTGGGAGGAGGGAATAACTTCAAATAGCTTCAAATAGCTTTGGCCTGCTTGGACCCGTGGGCAGATAACGTCAACTGTAGTGTGATATTTGGAGGATTGTTGATGCTCTAGCATTGGAATTGTACAGGAAAGTATGGCTGCAGCTCAGGCGTGTTCTTTCTGTTCTTTCGGGTGGCGCTGAGGGGGGAGTCCAGGTGACAAAGGATTCAAATACCAAACCCGATATGTCAGATGCCACCCCAGGAGGCCACAAATGGTCCCAAGCAACTTGTGAGAGGGGTCATGGAAGTACACAGAGGTACAGGCAAACATCCACACCCAAATGATGACGATCAGATTCAAGGCCACGTACAGGAGGTTGAGGACCGTCCTGGGCAGGGAGGACAGGCTGGCTGTCTTCAGGGAGGCCATGGGCGCCGTTTCCTCCACGATAAAGAGAGCCGAGTAGGCCAGGATGAAGGAGTGTCCTGAGATGTCGTAGCCATGCCAACGGAAGCCGGCCCGCCTGCAGCCGGCTTTGCTTGTGAACTCATTCTTGATAACATCCATGGAATCAGTTTCATAACACGAGCCGGTCGCGTCCTCGATGTAGAAGAAGGTCTCGGTGCAGACGTACCAGACGACTGTGGCCACCACCAGAGACAGCAGCCGCCGGCTGAGGAAGGTCACGCTCCTGCTGAAGGAGGAGTTGGAGAGGAGGAGGAAGGGGGTCAGCAGCAGCAACGTCCATCCCCAGGACACTTTGACAAAATACCTGCAAAAAGGGGCGGGGCATACACATTAAAACTCAGCCATTAGTATTTATCACCAGACCTTTGTTTTAACTTCAGCCTGTCTGCACTTCAATATTGTAGAAAACCAAATCTCCTCTGCACTAGGAACGGGAAATGAATCCAGTTTTTTATTTGCAGTTATGGTTTTGGTTTCCGACAATCAAGATTAATCGATTACTGTGATGTTTCGCTCGTTTTGATCATAGATTTGTCATGTGTGTCATTATAATATATTTTAAGTGTTTAGAACGACGTTCAGTAAATGCTTGTGATTCAGATGTTTATGAGTAATCATGTTTAACAATGCTGATCCATCAAAAGGATTTTTGTCATAATCGATCATCCCTACATGGAGTGTGAATTCATTCAAGAATACTGGTTATCTGATTGGTTGATTTGAGGCCAAAACAGGCTTACAAGACAAGATTATTAATACACAGAGACCAGAAACCAAAAGTAGACACGCTGAACAACAAAACAAACAATCCTGTCATCATCTGTGCTCCAAAACATTTCAGAAATTTAAACGTACATTTCATTCATCAAAGCTGTTCAAAAGTCAACATAAAGGGGACAATACAATCTTCTCGGCTTCTTCTTAGTCACACAGTTTACACAGTCTGTGTTCCTCCGGCGTGCTTTTAAATCAGAGCTGGTTTCAATTTGGATGTATCACGACATATCCACAAAGATGCCACTGATCTGGCTTTGGAAGGCTATCAAGACTATCAATCAATCAATCAATCAATCAATCAATCAATCAATCAGGCTCTGTGTATATATATATGAATTTCTCGTTTACTGCACATAGTTCTGTTTACATCTGTTAGTCCGATCACTGTCCACTTATATCTACTCTTTTTATATTTTGTATTTTCAAGTTAAGTTTAAGCTTTAAGTTGTATTTGTTGACACTTTATATTGAGGTTAAAATGTTTCGTACTTGCACTGTTGTTAATTTACTGCTCTGTGTGACTTTGAATTCCCCCCGGGGATTTTTTAATTGAATTGAATTGAATTGAATTGAATTAATCAAGCTGTATTTGTATAGTGCCAATTCATGACAAATGTTACCTGGAGAAACTTCACAATAAGAGCAGGTCTAGATCTTACTCTTTTTTTTACGTTATATATTATATGATGCTGATGAGGATGATTTTTATTATTATTATTATTTACAAAGACCCAACCTGAGCACAACACCATGAGCCCAGCACCAAGCAAAAATATCAAACTAACAGAACTGCCTCTGCAAAACCAGACTGATACTGAACAGCCATCTGCTGACTCAGTATTTCTTAAATCATCTTTGACTCTTGTTTGGAACTTTTCGTCTTGATGTGAGTTCAATAACAGAGACATTAGTCAGTTTACACCACAGACAACCTTTGACCTACATAACCGCAGCCTTTGTTACCATGACAACACAGTCCCAAAAAGAATCTGAGCTGTTCACTGCGTGTCATCAGCCGCACTCCTCTCAAAGTAAGCTGCAGGTGAACCCACAGGTGAACACACAGGTGAACGAGCTTGTAAAGGTGGCAGACCTGAGCTGGCTCACGACACCATCAGCAGTACTCACACGTTCAGGGCGTTTCTGCTGCTGCTGAAATAAGTCTGCGGGACGAGCTCCAGCTCTTTCAGGATCGAGCCCACGGCTGAGATGAGTAGAAATATCCAGGGGAAGTTTTGTTTGACGGCTGGTATCCTCCAGAGAGTCGCCAAGTTGTCCACAATGACATCCACCGCCGCCATGTTGACAACTGACCAGACGAGCCGAACTGGGTGCACCCTGACGTCACCGCGGTTCAGCCAATGAGGCGCCTCGACCGAGTGTTCGTTTGCTTCTTCTTCACTTCTACATGAGGCAGACCGGATGTTAAAAAGACACATTGCTGCCCTCTACTGTTCATTTTGAATCAGAACATTTACACATACAAGAAATGAAAGGTCTTCATTTATATACATATATTATTGAAAAAGATTTATAAGCAATGGGACTATTTAAAAAAAAGTTAAATTACAGAAGCATTTGTGGTAACCTTTTTATCATAGTGTGAGATTCTACTACTAATTTATGAGGGACAAAAAAATGACTAAAGTATAAATAAATAAATAAATGTTGGGAGAAATGCATACAATAATGTATAAATAAATGAATAATTAAATAAATGCATCAATAAATATATAAATAAATATATATATGAATAAATGCAACAATTCATATAAAAATTAATCTATGAATAAATATATTCATATATTTATTTATGTATTTCTGTGTCCATGTTGTACAAGGAAAAGTAAATATGTAAATTAAGTGGGCCGTCCTAACATTACTGAAGTAGGATTGGTCAATTTTGAAAAACAGACAGAAGCAAATTTACATATAAATACTTTTCCTCTTACGACCTGGACACAGAAATAAATAGATGTGTAAATGTAAAAATACGGAAATAAATTAATAACTCAATTAATGTGGAAATGTATTCATTGATACACGCTAATAAATGAATAAATACATAAATTATTTTTACAGTCTATGATAAATACATGTAAAAATATATAAATAGCCTTTTTCATTAACAAAGTGTATTTATTATTTATTCATTGATGTATTGTTTTCAGCATTTATATTTTTATCTATATATTTATTGATGCATTTATTTAATTATTTTTTATTTATACATTATTGTATGCATTTCTCCCAACATTTTTTATTTATTTATTTATACTTTAGTCATTTTTTGTCCCTCATACTAATTCTACTACTACTGATAATAATAAATAATACTAATAAAGTAATGGAAGCCGAAATGCAAAAAAAAAAAGTCAATTAATTTTTAAAGCTAATGTTGTTGATCCGTGATAAATATTAATTATTAACAGCAGTTATATTGAAGTTTAGTTTAAAGGTAACATTGACAACATAAAGCTCTTTCAATGGGTCTGGTTCAAAGTGAAGCGATGATGACCGTTGGTCTTACCGTTTGTTGTGTGATTTGAATTATGGGGCAACTTACTTTTAATGTTTGTAGTCAAAGAGTTACATCAAGTTTCGACTTGTTTAATTGAAATACAACAAATTTGTGCTAATTAGACGATTATGGACCAACAACTTTACTTTGTTATCGATCAGAAAATACTTAGACAGGACGATGTTATCGATGGTAACAGACTGCTAACTCTAAAAACAACGACGAAGATGATAACTTTGTGGATATATCGTGTTTCCAAACATGGAGAGCAAAGAGGAGGATAAAGAACATGTCTTAACTAAACGAGACGAGCTGCAGAAATGCTGTAAGTTAAGTTAGCTTCGTTAGGTTAAAGTAAATATTAAATAACTTCTGTCATATACTGTGTACCTCAGGCTAATGTTAGCTAGCTAGCTAAACTTTTTTGTTACCAAGGTCTCAAAATGAGATCGTTTGATTAGATAGAAGATACTTTATTGATCCTGAGGGAAATTCATTCAGTTTATTTATTGATTATGACTTTGAGGTTTATTTTTGGGCCTTTATTTAGAGATAAGACAGTAGATAGAGTCAGAAATCAGTGAAGGAGTGGGGAATGACCATATTTAAAGTCTATAGACTGTAATGAAGGTCATTACCCACCAGGGGTGCCGCCAGGAACTCCGGGCCCCATGAAAAGATATCACATTGGGCCCCTACCACGGTCCAAACTAACCGGAAAATTTCTATAACCGCACCTCCATCACACAAATGACCCATAACAACTTTGAACAGCTATGATTTGTTTTACACTCTGAAAATGGAAGATAAATAATCACTGTAATATTTCCTCATAGTTTAAAGATAATTTTAACTTTGTAATATTTGCACCTTTCAGACAGCTGAAGAATTTCCAGCGGCATTATTTAACTTATTAACTTGCTATAGTTAATGTTCTAAAGGCTTTTATTGTATAAATTGATCTTATTGGTTATCTTATTAAATAAAAAATTCTACTGGCATTAATGATAAAATGTAAACAAACAATAAATCTGAATTAGATTCCACCATGACTTTAAAATGAGGCTCTAGTTCTTCATAGTTCTGACTTCACTTTAATTCTTCTTCACTGCATTATCATTTGTCTCACCTGACGTTAAAAATATTGTTTTTTGGGCTGAAGTAGCGGACTCAGTTTTGATGCTAGCGCGACAACATTGGTATCATACGAACTGACAGTTTACAAAGAATCTGTTGATATCAAATATGTTACTGTAGCTGGGAAAGACGCTAAATATCGCTCCAAAGTGGACTCTTTTTACCGCAATGTAATATTTTTACAAAATAGGGTCATATGAAATCGTATCTATGAAGGGGATTCATATAATTAATTTATACATAAAACACAAATTGAACAAAACAATATTCTTGGCTGATTTTCTCTAAAAACAACAGGTTTAATCTGCAGCCTGCCACATCTCTCGCTCTTGACTCGACTGACCGCCCACAGTTCAATCCAGTTGAGAGGTGCGGGGCGGACTAAACCATTCTGCGCATTCAGAAGGGGGGAGAGGGGCCTCGGAGACAGACTCCACATTTTTTCCAGAAAGGAATTCTGAATGTTTGTTTATTTATTCAGACAATTTTAGTTATCTTATAACTTAGAGAAAAAAGCAAATTAACAAACACATTTTTATTTCAGGCCCATGAAGGGCCCCCCTCCCCACTGGGGCCCTGTGTAGTCAGTCCCACTTTTCCCCCCCACTACGACGCCCCTGTTTCCCACTCCATCACAGATTTCTGACAATGCTTGGAGGACTACATCTTCTTTACTGACAGCCCTAGTATGAATCTTAACATGCGATGCTTCTCATGAGAAAAGTGTTAGTTTCAACCACAGCTGACACAGTTTTTATCCACTGTTACACTAATAACGAACCTTGCCTTCAAATTTAGAGGGTTGTATGTCATGTGTAAGTACTGCTGTGTATGTTTAGTGGCTCTGACAGACACCAGCTGCTGCTGTGTTGTTACTCAGATGGAGCTGAAAGGCCAGACTGACACCTGAAAAAGCTCCGGCTCAGGATCCTTAAATACTGTTGGTACATGATTGGTTTTATGTTCCCTCTCTGGTAAATACAGGAGGCCTCTGAGTTCCCCTCTTTTCTTCTTTCGGACACGACAAGGTCACAGTTTGCATTCAGCTTTTGTATGCAAGCAACCTGCAGAGTTTCAAACCAGACAGATGATGTCATGCTGCAGGGGGGGAGGGAGGGTCTCGGGGAAAAACTGTCTGGCTGGAGAATCATCTCCTCCCTGATCTAACCCACTTCAGACAGTTCAGAAGTTTCTGTGTTGGGATTCCTGCAGAAATATCTACTTTTACCACAAAGAAACTACATTTTGTTTAATATTTTCTGAGAATTGTATCACAAGCTCGACTGACACAAAAACCTGTCCCAGTCATTATATCATTAAAGGTGCTGTCACAAATCCCTGTGATGATATTCACACACCACCACAAATACAGTTTGAGCCTCTGGTTGGCAACAATTGGATTGACAGCCACAGAATCCGGTAGTACAGCTATCCATCCATACTGTAAAGTGGGGCGTATGCTGAGTAATTTGGGGACCTTGTGCCTTTTATTGTAGCTCCTCAAGCTTGTCAGATTATCTATGCAATCTTTTTAGCATAGCTTCATCATCTGTATTGAAGAAGTGGAAAGGGCCATTGTGACTTTGAAGACTTAAATGTGGTCTCTTGGCTGTAGCCTTGCTAGGAGTGACCACATTAGTTGAAGGAGTTGGCAAGCGTTGCTACATGTGTCTCCTGAATGAAAAGTTGCCTGCACTTAGTGAAAGTTCAATTTCAAGGTAACTTTGTCTGAAAGCACCTCAAGCATTTATGTAGTGACTCATATCCAATGTCCAAAATGTTTAAATCAAACTTTTAGTCCCCTGCACTGGTGCATAGACTCGTCTTTATCGTGTCTCCAAACATAAACAAATGTCCAAAATGAAATTACTGTGAGTGACAGTTTATTGCAAAGGGTATGAAGCAGACAAAAAGTTACCATGATGATGAAGATATGAAATGATGCTTGTCCATATTGCTCAATGCTGTTTCTGAGATTAAATTAAGAACCTTGTGTTCCCTCCTCCTATGCCAACAGACTTCCTGTTGAAGCTTGACCCACATTATCAATTATCCCCATCTAGTGTTGAAATGTAAGTTAATCAATAAACAAAAAAAACCCAAACATTAATACACAATTATACACACACTAACTTAACTCCTACAGTTTATTTACTTCACATTAAGAGCATGATTAACTGAATGAACATCATGATTTCTAGAGAAGGCTTGAATCTGCAGCTTGAGACCGGTTAATCATGAGGGAAATAGAGAGGTAATCAGTCAAGTGAGAAGAAGGCACATTTTATCACTTCTGCATTGGCTTCACTTGTCATACTCTGAGGCTTTATCTGTTTTCTTTATTTACTCAACCGTGTCCACAATGAATTGGCTTAAAATGTTGTATTTTGCACAGACATCATCTGTGCTTCCTAAAGACTTTTTGTTGATCCCCTGAATGTTCCTCTAGGTGCACCCTAAGGTTCATATTTGTGGATTTGAATGAAATATTCCCCAACTATTGGACTAATTGTATCTGTGTCTCCTATAGGATGATTTTTTCTCTGTGAATGGGAAGCAGCTACTAGCAGCTAAGTTAGTGAGAAAAAATTCCCTTTCTGATTAGACTGCTTACCTTTTCCTTTAGATTTTCATATTCTTTCGCAGTCATTTCCAAAAAAGCTTAATTCACAAGCAGCACTCCTCAGTCGAACACACAGCAATCTGTCACTCTGTCTGCAAACCTTCAACAGTTTGCTGGATCTGTTTAATGTCGCAGCTTAACATTTCTGGCCTCTTTGACCTGCTGTGATGGAAATATTAACTATGTGACAGAACTGACACGCATGTGGCCATTGCTATATTTAAAGGTTTGAATCTGCTGGTACAATGGTTCACTCTCAACAGGGGGAGTGAACTATGACATGAAATCCATATTATTAGTAAATCTAGAATGAAGAGTCACTTCTTTGTTGATCAGGATGAGGTAGTTGAGATAGTTTTTCCTTTTTCTCTTTTGATAACCGGAAAAGTAAACCCCTGAAGTTCAAGGTTGCGTCTCTAGCTGTATGCGTTTTTGACCTTCTGTATGCTGAAGACACTCAGAGACTCTTTGATGGATCGTCTGTGAATTTTAGACACAAAGTCACAAAGTCTGACGGCACTCTGCTGACTTTGCTGTAAGTCTTTGAAGAGTCGACTTCAGAGAGCTTACCCGAGAGATCAGGTGACACAGAGAAGTCTTCAGAGCCGTATTGTGTTCATTCATATCTCTTTGAAAAAGACCAGAATTCTCACAATTTTATGGGAGGTTTGAATATCTGAATGTCCCATATTAGAGTTCTGCATGAACATGTTCATCACCAATGGCTCTCACCAAGGGTTCACATTTAAAAGTTAACTTTATTTTTCTCTTAACCCCCAATGTAATAATCTTTGAATTTATTGGAGCTCAGGGAGTTGTGGTTGTCCTGCTAGTTTTATAAATTTAAATAGAAAAGAGAGCAGGCAGGTAGGTACACTGAGGTTAAGATCTTTTTTCTTCAGATTCCTATTTCACTTTCATCTTCTTTCTCTCTCTGGTTGTTCGTCCGTCTCAGAGATGAAGGTGGTCCAGAGGGAAAAGGCGCCGGCTGGCCAGGTCAAGATGAAGGACAACCTCAGGTATGTGACAAATGTGTGTGTCTTTACATAAGATAAGATGATACTTTATTGTCAGTGTACACAGAAATGTATCTTGTATCACGTGATGCTCATCACAATCACGTCTCATATAAAAAATTACCTTTAAATTCAACAAAACAATTTCTATTTTTATAGGTTAAGTTTATTTTCGGGCTTGGAGGACTCCAGCTCTATTCATGGGGTCTGCAAACGCAAACTAACCACTAGGCTACTGGCATCCCCCCCCAGAAAACAATTTCAAACCCAAATTGTATTGAGTACATTTCCGTTTTGCAAAGTAACTAACCTCTGAGAAACAAAGAACAGGTTCGTCTAAGAGAGTCGAGTCAGCTGGTTAGACGAGCTTTTCTGTCCGACTCTGTAATCTTCATCAAAATACTTTTGAGGCAAAATTGTCCAAATTTTAAATCTTTAAAATGGCAACAAGTACGGACTAAGGTACCACTTAGGACTGAGAAGATAATCATGTATTATAAAGGATTATAGAAATGTAAAAGTGGGATGGTACCTCAGGTGGTCAAACAGATTTCAGTTGTTTCATTCACTGAGAAGAAATATGAAACTAAAAAAACATGGACAGTATGTCACAAGCTGAAGTAACCACCGTGAAGATAAAGGTAGTGAAGCCCCTAGAGTTTTTCATTTTGCCCACTTTCAACTTTTATTTAACATCATGCAGTGATGAAAAAAATATAAAAACAGTGATTGAGACCATAAAGTCGTTAGGAAAACATCGACTGAGGTTATAAATCAACTTAGAAGTAGACACATTTTCTCATATTCTACTATCAGACTTATTTCTGCAACCAGTGGAGTCGTCACCCCGAGGAAGAAGTTCACCACGAGGGGTTTTCCTTTCACCAGGAAGCGTCTCAGCCCAGTTTGAACGCTCCGTCTCCCACACAGAACAGACACTTTTGTTTGCAGTCAGAGCGAGGGTCTGCTCTGTGAAAGGATCCTCTGATGAAGGTAGGAGACACTCTTCTTCTCCTTTTAATGTAAAGACTGCATAGAGGCTGTTTTTTAAAGTGACAGACATATATTTATGATTAATCGGTTAAAATAGTTAACAGCTCTCATGGTCATGGTGCATGTTACGTTTTGAATGAATCTACACTATGAGGAGGATTTGCTAAAATATTAACTAGAATTAACATTCGCTGTTTGTAAAAAATGTTTTGCTTGAAACTAATCAATAAAACTGAGTTTGATGTTGTATTTTGAGCTTTAAAGCAAAGATGCATGTGTTAGAGTGCTAGACACGGTCTCAAATATTTAATGTAGCACCTGTAAATCATGCATACATTTCTTAATGAGTAATATTTTTTTTACTTTTTTCATATTTATCCGTTTGTCTTTGTTTGTTTCTCTCTGAATTTTGTTAACCCGTAAAAGGTGCTTTGCACTTACAGTTATCCTTTGATAATAGAATCACCTGTTGTTTTGTTCTCCATCTTGAATCAGGTGAAATCAGCACAGGCGGTCCGTAATTATCAAACTCATTTCATTCATCTTTATCGTCTCCTCAGAGTTGTGCAGAGAGGCGGTGCAGCTGCAGCCTCTTCCTCCTCCTCAGCTCTCAGATGGGTGCTGCTTGTGTTCAGCTCCTGTTGGCTGCCACCCTGTGGACGACGCCCTGCATGAGAGCCACTGCTGCTGCCCCCTCTGAGCTATCGAGCTCCACAGAGCTGCTCAACACAACTGAGACGCAGACGCAAGCTGTGGGTGCTCCTCTCAGGAGACACAAACGAGCCGTTTCATCCAGAGAGATCAACGCCCTGCTGGATTATCACAACAGAGTCCGCTCTCAGGTTTTCCCGCCTGCAGCCAATATGGAGTTCATGGTGAGGAAACAGAGAGCAAGGAATAAAACAGAGACATAGTGTAGTTAAGAGTTTTATTTTGTTTGTTTTTAAACTAATTATTAGAGGAGATAGCGTTAGATTTGAGGGGTAAAACAATAAACTTAACTTGAGATAATCCACTATTGTCCTGGAGACCTTGATATGATCCTCAACGGGTTTTGAAAAAGGTCTAACTGACCCAAAATATCCATTCACTATGAAGGAGAATTAAAGTTTGTGACTTAAAGTAATAATATTATACATACCTAATATAACACATGACTGTTTTTGGTGTTATTTTAATGCTTTATGGACATTTATATTGTTGAACATTACATGTGTTGTGTTTGATCACTTGTGTCCAACGAACCCATGATTTGAGTTTTTCACTTACTAAAAAGAATGAAAGAAAAGTCTTGTTTTGTGTCTTTCTCTGTGCTCTTTCTTGGCTCAGCAGCTCTGGGACGAGAGTCTCGCTAAGTCAGCTGACTCTTGGGCGTCGCGATGCGTTTGGGATCACGGACCGACACAAGCCATGAAATACATCGGACAAAACCTGTCAATCACCTCAGGAAGGTAGAACAAAGAATCTGCGACTAACAAAACAACTCGCAGAGAAAGTTTTGGCTGTTTCTTACCACAGCATATGGATCAATTATATTGTCATGTGTGTGATAGGTACCAGTCCATCACTGATCTGGTGCGGACTTGGTACGATGAGAGGAATCACTTCTCCTACCCAAACAGATGCCCAGGATCTGTGTGCTCTCACTACACACAGGTACGGTCACTTTTATTTTCTCCTTGATGAGGGAGTGAGGTGGGATGGAAATGTTTTTATCAAAGGGAATGCAAAGAAGTTAAATGTTCACATTGATGCTTTGGCTTTGTTGGATTTTGTTGCAATGATAGGATAAAAAACTTCTCCGCATGGGCAGATGTGTTCATAAATGCATCAAACTGAACACTGATGATGATGATCAGTGTCCCTTGTATTTAATCTTCATTTTGTAATAACTTTATTTTGGGTGAAAACGATGAAGAGAACAATGAGGGAGGATTACGGTTTCTAAATCCTTAATGGATGAAGAGCTGAATTTTATTTTGTAGGGCTGAGAACTTTCTTTAAGATCTAAAATTAGCATGTTCCTCAGTCATGTTATTCTTTTCCAGCATTAGGGGGTTACATTAAATGAATACCGGCATATCTTCCTGATTCCTGAAGGTGTGTTTGAAGATATGAAAGTGATCTCTGTCTCTGTTTTTGGGTTTTATTCTCCTTGAGAAGATGGTAGCACCAATGTGTCAGTTTTTAGGAACAGAAAAGTTTGTGAAATATAGCATCATCAAAAATAGTAATATTTGAATTCTTTGAAAGTCAGAGTTTGATTCTTAATTTATCCACCGGCTGCCGGAGACCAAAAGTATACTTCTAGTTTGTTTCCATTAATCTAGCGTTAATATTTAAACTTCTACGTGAAGGAAGCAGTCACAGCAGAATACGTGCTATTTATCATGTTTTTAACATTTGTTTTGAATGTCCTCAGATGGTTTGGGCGAGCTCTAACAGAATGGGATGTGCCGTCAGAAGATGCTCAAACATGTTTGTGTTTGGGAAAACTTGGAGGGAGGCGACGCTGCTCGTCTGCAACTACTCCATAAAGTAAGATGAACAAAGTTTCCTGAAAACTACAACTGGAAAAACTACAACATCCAGCTGTTTTTAGGACATTATGGAGATGTATTTTTTAAACACAAAAATATGACCCATTTAAAGTTTTACACCTTCAATAGGAAACAAGAAAAGAGTGCTGCATGTGTTGTTGGTTTTGCTCTTTTCATGGGATGTGTGGTGACAATGGTGTCTTATGTAGAAAATAAAAAAAGCAGATCAACCTTCTGGCTAACTGTTTGTTGGTTTGTTTGTGTTTCAGAGGAAACTGGGTGGGAGAGGCTCCCTATAAGAGCGGCAGGCCTTGTTCTGTCTGTCCGTCGAGCTATGGCGGCTCCTGCTGGAGAAACCAGTGTTCACCGAACACAAAACACAAAAAACACACGAGATAATAACACAAAAGAGAGATTCAAATGTGCTTCAATGGAAGACAGAAGAAACACTTTAACATAAGGACTTTCAGTTTTAACAAACACTGGGCTGTGCAACAGAATGAAACAGCAGTCCAGTTGCCACTATGACAACAGAAACCTTTAGTAATGTGTACAAATGTTTATGTTTTTTTTTTTACCTCTGTTGGTCATCAACCTGTCCATTTCTAAGTAATACTTGTTTTAAACTTCTTAAGAGTGTATGCACTGTTATTGTTATTTTATGCTCAAACTGAAGCACTGTTCTTGTACAGATTAAACTTACTGTGACTGTAGACGACTTCTTGATTCTCTTTCTAATCTGACTTAACTTTTTTGTCTCTGTCATTGTGAGCAAACTGTCTGCTTATTACTGTAGTAAACCTGAATGAGTGTATTCTTCAGCTGCCTGATTGAACATTAATGCAGTTATAAATAACCAATGACGCTCGATGTCCCTATAAATATTCAGCTGTCTGTTATTTTGTGTTTACTCACTGCTGCTGCAGGAAATTTTCTGTCCCGCATTTCACCTCATTACGTCTCCCAGCTTTCCCTTCAGAGGCTCTCTGTGCCATAAAACTGGAGGCTAATGCTGCTTTTATGGTGTAAAATACGAGGAATCAGCTGTGCCTCCCAGCAAATGCATGAACACACACACACACACACACACACACACACACACACACACACACACACACACAGCAACATATTTTGATATGGAAAACATTTCTGCCAAGCAAACAAAGAAAGTTCCTCTCAAACAAGCACTAAGAAGCAACGAGCTCAGCACTTCACTGACTGAAACAAAAGTTCATTTTCACAACCTTAAATTAAAAAACCGTCAGAGGATGAAAATGATTTTCTATAAGAGGTTAAGTTTATCATACGCTGCTTTTGTTCAGCTCTTGTTACTTATAAAAAAAGTGCATATTTGTTGTTTTAAAGCATGAACTAATTGCATCATTCAGGTTATCATCAGCAGACAAATAAACTCAGGAGCTGTCTTTTCCACTGAGAGTTAGATAATTATAGTTTACCATGATCATGTCAGTTCATCAAATTTGAAGCTAAAGCCACAAACCCTTAGCTTAGCGTAGCATGAAGACTGAATATAAAGGGAAATGGCTAACATGGCTCTGTACAAAGACTAAAATAAATGTGCCTAAAGCTCACTGATGAGCACGCTTTATCTTGTGTTCATCCAAATAGATCATCTAGTGTGTAAGCAGCCTTGGGGAGGAGATGGGATTGGATAGATGGGTTAAAAAAACCAAGTCTTTCCCCATAGTTGGTGATGATTTAACTTAAGAGTATGTATGCTTTCTGTAGTTTTATTCCTGTTGCATCACACACATATTTTAACTTACATAGGTTACTTTACTCACATCACTTCCATACTTATTGTAACCCCGACTTATGAGTTTTTTACTAAACCCATCCAAGAAGTTTTGGTCCCTGAAAAGTAAACCCAGAACAGCATTATAAATTCTGAGAACGACCTGACTGTGAAATGTAAAAGTTCTGTCTGCCGGTATCTCTCAAATGATGACGAATTTCCTTTTATGAGGTGCAGAGGACCAAAGATTTCCATTTCTGTTAGGAGAAAATGGAAATATTATTTTAAAATGAGCTTCCGGCTGTTGCCTTGCTGCCCCACAGCCTGCTCAGACCTAACTCTACACCTGAGAGCTGACAGACTTTTCCCATCAGTCAAAACAAAACCTCTGACGTCACTCATCACACTCAGTCTGCCGGGCTGCCTCCCTCAGTACATTCTCCACTCCTCTCTGTCTTTTATGCCCCCCCACCCTTTGCCTTTCACTCTTTTCTTTCTCTATCAACTCACTTTTTTAAAATTATAATAAAACTTTTTCAATCTGCATGTGGAGAATCTGACATTTGGTGATGAGAAAGAGGGGAAAAGCGCATGATAACTTAATGTCTATTTGAGTTTCTATCATCACGTTGCCGTAGTTACAGCTGCTATATAGATTGGTGTCCATACGAGCCTGGTTACTGTTTAACCTCCCCACCCACATTTGCCCAGATTAGGAAAATCAATAAGATAACAGCGGCAACAGCGGCCTTACCTTGCACCAACAACAGCCTTCTCACACTGCAGCACCCTGCTGCCAAACTTCCACATTTTACACCTTATGTTGAGGAGGGAAAAAAGTGGATTTTAAATCGCATGTTTGAGAGGAAACAGAGGACGACATGGTCAATGTAAACACACAAGTCAGCTCAAGCATGGAACCTCCATTAGGTGAGTTTTTGTTTTTAGCATCTTGAGACAGAAAAAACAGCTTGAGCTGCTTTTCTTTCTTCTTTGTGGTCGGTGTTCAGTGGAGAAGCTGTTGCTCCCTAGAGCTTAGCCTGGATCATGTCATCGCCATTTGTGTCTGCCTGTTTCACACGGCTGCAATCCAGGAGGTGTGTCTCAGATATGGAGGCTGTTAAAAAAAGGCCTTGGGAGTCGGGCCTGATGGTGAAGATGGTTCAGAGTTTTTAGAGATGTTAGAGCAGCCGGAGAGTCGATCTGAACCTGATGGTGGTGTTACAGCTGATGCATAAAGTCAATGTTTGGAGATGTTGTTGTGCAGGTTAAAGTCAGACACTTTTTTATTCTCAGTATTTCAAAGAAGAAGTCATATCCTTCTGAAGTTAAAGTAGTAATAGCAAAGTCCAAAGTAATCACAAGTTTTAAAATTAATTGAGTCATAAATGATATTGTTTGTATCATCAACTAAATGTACTTAAATACAAAAGAAGATCCAGAATGTATTTAATCATTTTGTTAGATTAGATGTAAGAGCATTTTAAAGTTGTACTTTGCCGATGTGGAGCCGGTTGTGGATGCTTTGTGTATTATTTGGTGCATAAGTAATACTGCGGGTGCATCATATCATACGGGAATATATTACAAGCTGTAAGAAAACTTTATAAGAATCATCATCAAGAACCAAAGATGTTTTTTTTTAATGCAAAAAAGTAACTAGAAACTTAAAGTCTTACTAAAATGCATCAAGCAGTACTTTAATATTCTGTATTAGTGTATAAAATAACAAGAAACTGTTAAATAATAGCATCATACAAACTGCATCATATAGTGAAGCAAATTGTGTTTTTCTGGTATTTTGAAAAGTAATTTGTAACGAACAAAAAACTAGTAACTAATAATTATTACCCTGCAACATTCAATCCACTGCATCATATTCTTTTCATAATTTTATTGTATTTTTTTTATCATTTATGTAACACACTGACACATGCAGTGAGTATGGCTTCATATGTAAAATAAAAAAATAGATGCCATGTATACAGGTTTGTAGCCATGGCTAATTTGCGACCCATGTCCTGGGTTTGGATTTAATGATTTAAAAAGACTTCAATCAGACATTAGACTTACAGACATACAGAAAGGCTTTTTTAAATGTAAGTGTTTATAAAGTAAAAGTAACTTGGAGCTGTGCAAAGTAAATATTGATGTGTAAAAAGTGCAATATTTGAAATGTAATGGAGTAGATTTTGAATATCAAATTTGTACTTAAGAACAACATTTGTGTTTTAAAGGGGGATTTTCAATGCTTTGAAACATTGTCCGTGTTCAGTGTGAAGAAAACAGCACTATAAAAAGCAAAGATGAGGCTCTGATGAAGCTTACTTGTTGTCATGGCTGCAGGATCTGTTTCTGCACAAACAGTAAACTGTGTAAGATCACAGAAATCCCCATCCGTCACAGAAGCTGCTACTACATGCTCCATCTGTTCCTGTGATGTTTTGAACTCTCTCAGTTTTCACCTACAGCAGTTGATGTTGGGAGGGGAGGTGGGGGGGGGGGGGGGGGGGGTTGTTTTTACTCCTGTGGTCATTCATTGGATGGTTTGCATGTCACAGTGGGATGTGGAGATGCAAATTCATTTCCACTGGCTGAAATGACAAAAAAAAAGCGACCAGTAAGGCTAAACAGCAAAACCCTATTATTGAATAGTTCAGTGGCTGCTTTAAATTTGACTGCTTAGCTTCCCTCCCCATCACTCTACTGCAGCTTTTTTTCTACCAATTTGTTGCTAACGTCATAGTACGAGTATTTTACTCTGCTCATCTCTTCACCAGGTGCTTTTGTTTCCACTTTAGCAGCTTTGTGTCTTCTTCGTGCAGATGTCCCCATGATACCTGATCACACTCTCACTGACTTGATCTTGAATCCTGAAACAGGATATAAGATACCTTTTAGGATTTTAAATAACTGTAGCTTTTTATGTTTTGTTGCACAAGTTTGTTGGCACAGTGACATTTTAGTAATCTTAGGGATCTTCTTCGCTGACCAGCTTGATGCTAACCTGCTAGCACCCCCTCCCTTCTCAAATAAAGATCTTAGTGCATTTCCTTACTGATATGGGGATAACATCTCTGCAGACGAATGAGCATGCTAAAAAATTGCAGGACAGTAAACAAACTGTTGTTGAAATGAGGTATTTGTACCATTGATTCCTGCAAACCGTTTCTCATTTTTGTTGCAGCAGTTAATTCTCTAGCAGAGTGTGTTTAATTAAGCTGCATGGCTGAACACATAACATAACATTTCCACCTTTAAAGTGCCAGTGTGACTGCTCCTTGGTTGGTCCTTGGAAGATAAATGCAATCATAATGATCAGTTGAATTTGCCGGTTGAATAGTCATCAACATCTTTATTAATCCCATTCAATGCATCGTCCTGTTACAAGTTCATTGATAACATTTTGTACATGAACACACTGATGTCTTTGTATAATCATAACAAACCACCACTATGATATGCATGCATCAACATAATAAAAGCCTTAATCAGTGTCCTCTGACACGACAACATCTTTATTAAGACCTGAGCAGCCTTATAAAGATCTGATGGTTTTGGCTTCAGTACACAGACATCAGATATGACAGATACTGAATATTTATTGCATATTTGTAAATTCTAAGTGCTTTGACTATAGTCTTTAAAAAAACACTTTATAGTGCATTCACACTTGCACAAAGCTCCTGATATTTGCAGCTGCATGTTTTAAAGCACAAGTCAAACTTCATCCAGGGTTTCTCCTGCCAGATCCCTAATATATTTCATAATACATATTTCATTATAGATTGTATATAGGGGACTCTGTTGCCTCGTCTGCCACTTTCACCGTCTTTCTTAATACTTCATGTCTTGCCCCCCCTCCCGTTGGACGGGGATAGATTCTCGCTATGAGGTGCATCTGTGAACAAACCAATCAGAATTTCACCTGCAGTCCTCCTAAAATTCTCTTGAAATTTTCAAGAGTGCAAATGTGAAAACGGCTTTAGAGTTTTTTTTTATCACAATGAACACACAAACTGTTTATCTTTCTTAACTTTAACTTTATCTTCAGACCTACATGCTACAAATAACAAGTCCAGACTAGAGGATAAGTTTGGGGGTAAGACAAAAATATCAATATGGCAATATATCGTCGCGCCAACTCAAAATACAACCGTATCCCTTGTGACAAATATCCGTATTTTTATTCTTTTAAAATGTGAAGCCCTAAACCGATTTCCCTCCTGCTTTGACTCACCCCGTCTCTACATCATGACTCCTGGTGATTGCCCTTCTGAAATAAATGAGATGACATGAACAAAAGTTAGAAGCCAAAGACGAAGTTGAGAGCAGGATAATAGAAGACGAAGATCACGTCAAACAGCTGTGAAAAGAAGCTAAGAGATGAAATTGAATAAGAGTTGAAACTCCCAAATTTACAGTGAACAAACACAGTCGTCATGCACTTTACATTTTGAGGGACATTTTACATTCTTCAGGTCATCAGATATCGTGAAGTATATGATATGATTGTCATGTAGTATACTGTATATGAATTATTCCAGAATCTCTGTATGGTGATACTATCGTTACTGTGGGCCACATGCTGTATGGGGAATCTTATTGTATCGTATCGAGAGTTACCCTGGATTCCCCACCCCTAATGTCTTGAATTTTAAGAGTGGATCCAGTGCATTGAAAATCAAAATAGTTGAGTTAAACTAACTTGTTAACCTGAACTGCTAATTTTATCAATGACCTGAAAAGTGTGTCACCTCGAGCCCCAGCTCTGAGTCGATTGTTTTTGAACACAATTGAAACATTTTCTGAAAGGATTTGTTTACCAACTGTAGCATACGCTTAACCAATCTTCCATAACCAGGACATTTATGTTACAAATACATTCTTTGGCAGCCGCCTGCACTAAGCTCCTTTTTGGCCTAGATTGGGTTATACTATGCTTCTTTGTCCAAAACAAACTGCTGACGTGATGTCTCCAGCAGGCATTACCAATGTAACCATTTATTCCAGTTTGTACATGATGAGTATAGGGAAACATTTTTTAGAGATTCAGGTTAAAATCTGAGCTGGTACAATTCTCCAAAAAATCACATTCACTCTTCTTGACTGAGGCTTACAAACTGTGTTGTTAGCAGGTAACTGAGTGTGAGACACTTGGGATTAATTGCTCAACGGTCACAACCTGGACAAACTCTGCTGTTGGCGGAATCACATGTTGAATGTAAACATGACAACAGCCCTTCAGCGGCTCCTCAGCAGATCTCTGTTTGCCTACAGAGCTCAATGACGAGACTGTGGGTCACTGAGAGGCCTCGTTCCTTAAAATGCACCGTCTGAGTGACAGCGTTAACTGCTCAACTTTACTCAACTACTCGCACGGGAAAGAAACGGCCACAACACTGCTCAGTTTTTCTGTTTTGTGTTTTTATCCTGAGTGTCACCTGGTAGCTGCTGTTTGTGTCATGGTTTCTTGATTTGCTTGATTTCTTCTTCTATCATTTCATTGGTTGAATGGGATTTTGCTGTTTAATATAAAGCTGTTTCTGCAGAGGAGCTTCAGAGAAACTCATGACTGACTGCAGCTCTTAGAGAGAGAGAGAGAGAGAGAGAGAGAGAGAGAGACAGAGAGAGAGAGAGAGAGAGAGAGAGAGAGAGAGAGAGAGAGAGCAATGCACCAGATAGTGTCAGGATTGGGAGTCAAACCTGCGACCAGCACTACAAAGGACTGTAGACTCTGTACATTGGGCGCCCGCTCCACCAATTGAGCACCAACAAAAAGGCTTATTGGCTATTTATCCTCTCCTTACAATGCTGGAGAGGAAGCTCTACATTTCGATGCATGAAATCATCACACCATCATTTTATTTTATTCATTTATTTAACATGTGATGAACATGGCTTCATATGTAAAAAAAAAGTAGAAGCCATGCATACAGGTTTCTAGCTGTGGTTACCTAGCAACCCCTTGCTCGACTTTTAGGAGCCATATGTGGATTCAATCGAGGTTATATTGATATATTAATCCATCTCCAACCTTATTTTGTTCATTTGCAGATGTAGTTTTCTTACATTTTGTCATCTGGATGAACTGACCTTTGAGTGTAAACTCAGAGGATGCAGCTTCATACGCTCCAACATGAAACGTAAAAGAGAAAAAAGTGTCCACCAGTGTTGATGTTAAGCTACTTTAACTTCATCCAGTCTCTGATACTGCTCAGTTGGTCGTTAAAGAGTCACTATAGTACATGAACTTTATATCTGAAATGATTAATAATAAAAATCTGGATCATGGTTACAGGGATTATGATGGTGTAATGATTTAATCTGGATAAGAGTTTTAATAACTGCAGCCATATAGAGACTATGAAACTTGTGCTATAGAAAACGGACAGCACATTGTTCTGCTAAACAAATTCCTCAGCTAATGAAGTGATTTATAATTTGTACTCTAATTAAATATGTGCTGTTTAAGTGGAGCAGGAAGCCCAATTAGCTTGTTTCTGGGGTAGGTTTCACACTCTGCTCACTTGACAACATTAATCCGCTGGTTCAGGTCTCCAATCAAATCTCATTGTGACAGGCATTAGGGGATAATCCCTGGGTGTTGTGGGTCCTAACAGCCGGCCCCGGCGGCCCCCGGCAAACAGCTTCAGTGCAGTGACAGTGGCCCTGCTTCTCCTCCCAGCCTGCCTCAGCCTGGCCGGGCCTGAGAGAGCCGCCGCGGCTCATGGGCCGTCACTCAGCTGGCCGGCTCACTGTCAGGGCTCGGCCTTCAGAGGGATGTATGGCCAGGATGGGACTCTGCACTTCAACAACACAGGTACAGGAATCAGAAAAGAACCCTGAGAACTAGGCGAAAGTTTGTCCTGAATCAAGTGTTTGTGCGTTAAAACCTCAGAGCCGTGGGAAGAAAAGCTGCTGAGAAGCAAACAAAAGGAACGCGGTGCTTATGCGGATATGTTTGCCGTAGTGTTGCTGTGTTTTTCTGGTTTTACAACAGTGTTTGTCTTTGAAAATTATTGTGTTGTAGAGTTGTTGTTGTTGTTTTTGCAGAAAAAAAAGCTTTAAATGTTGACGGTTTACAAGAGCTGCAAGATTCACAGCTGCACATTCACAGTAAAGTCATGCATGTTGGGTTAAAAAATCTTGACAGACACAGTTGTTGGATTCTTTGTGGTGAATATCTTCAGCTGTTTGTGCATGAAACTCAGTTATGAGGCAGGTTAACTGCAGAGTAAGACAGCTATGGTTTCATGCTGTATGTCCACATGATGGCAGTAGTAAACAGTGATTTCATGTCGTCTGACTGGCAGTGAAGGTAGCACAGTGTGCAGTAAAATGGTGAAGTGACCAGAGTCATTTTATTTATCGAAAACTCTTACTTCATCAACTCAATTTTTTACTACTTTGTTCTTCTGCTCTTTGACATCTCAGGGGGAAAATTGTACTTTTAAGTGTGCTGCATTTGTCTAGTTAAGCTTAAATTGAATTCATTTTATGTGAAAAGCCTGTCTTAAGCCTTTGAATTATGGTGCCTTAGTAAGCTTTCTATGCATAGTAATGCATGTGGATGGAACATTAAGGGAAGCAAAGAAACTCTATGGCACTGTAAAACTGATTGATGCACTTATATGCATAGTGATTCCTACTTTTTGATTCTCTAGTTTCAGTTTGTTGTTGTTAGGTAAATGTTTGTCAAGTGGAATTTGAGGATCCGTTTGAGCACTGATGTTTTTTTAGTTTTATTTATTGCAGTATTTAAGTAAAAGATCTGAAATCTTCTGCCACCATCGAGCTGGAATTTGTGTGCAAAACCTGCACTTTTCTTTCAATTAGTACTTTTCCTAGAGAACAAAATATGGTTTGTGAGACATTTATCAGATGTAGAGAATTCTTTTTTTTTTTTTACTGTATTGCTCCTTTTTTTTATTTTCTAGAGGATCTGATGTCTGCCACTACTGCAGAGGTCTGCAGCAGCAATCTGAATGCTCAGCCACTTTTTTCTGACATATGGAAGTTCCCTTTAAGAAAATAGTGTAAGTCCATTACAAACTGATTTTAATGGTGTTAACGGTCTTGTGGCTGATGCTGTAAACCTAAAGGTTGGCCTGGGTTATTAGAATCAATAATAGAGCATGATCAGATTGAGATTTGTCCAATCAGAAAGAGACCAGTATGTTCAGTGTTTGACCTCAGCAGAGCAGCCAATAGAAACAGAGAGAGAGAAAAAAGAGCTGATAAAGAGTCTAAACTGTTCAAATTTAAAGCAGTATCAGCATTCAGCAGGCAGCTCACAACATTAATCATAATGAAATTGTCCTCTAGAATTTAGCAAGAAATCAGAAATATTTAGAGCATATTTCATCAGTATTAATCGGTTAATCAGTCTGAGATTAATTCCAGTTTGATTTAGGCGACGAAGCCCTTTACTGCCGGTGTGAGGAAATAAGAAAAGTTCCAGTACGTCATTGTAGGGGGAAACTTAGAAAAAATTACTGACAATCTTGGAATAGTGCCTCGGTATTTAAAGAATATAGAGAATCTCTCTTAAAATAAGGACAAACTGTCTGTAAATAATGACATTTTTATTACTTAAAGCTACTACATCATTTTGAGATTGTAGGTCATTGTGTCAGGACAGGTCGGTTGTAATGATCTGCACATTTTAAAGAGAGTAAATCATTATTTAAAGATCCGTCATTATGATGAAATGCTGCACAGCTGAGTCATTTAAAAAAAAATACTAATGAAGTATTTTGCAATGAAACGCTATTATTGTACTATAGTGAGACATTATTTAACAACACGTCATCAATCAGAAAGATTTTATTGCGATAAGTAGTCATTATTTTAAGAAAGTTACCAAGTCTTTAACCATTTAACAACAATCATTTAAAACACTACGTTACTTTACTAGTTCACTTTTTTTTTGTTTAAAGATTTCTTTTTGGGCTTTTTGTTCCTTTAATGGAGAGGTAGGACAGTGGACAGAGCCGGAAATCAGGGAGAGTAGGGAATGACAGAGTAGGGAATGACATGCAGAATGGGAGCCACAGGCCGGACTTGAACCTGGACTGCCCGCCCGGAAGACCACAGCCTCCATACATGGGATTGGCGCACTAACCACTGCGCCACCAGCACCCCTTTATGTGATACTTAAGCCGTTTTCAAATATGCACTCCTGAAAATAACTAGATAATTTTGGGAGGACTGCTCTTGAGATTTTCCCGACCTGGTTGTTCACAGATAACGTCACAGCTGGACACGATCCCTGTCAGACGGGAAGGGGTGGGTGGTGGTTAAAAAAGACTCAGAATCTGCTATACCATGCCATAATGAGAATATTTGCCCTCACAGCAATGTTATGTGTAGTTCAACAGAATCACAACATCAACAAAAGAGCAGAGAACAACATTCTGATTAACAGAAAACGTAATGCAGCTGTTTAATTATGTGCGCAGAGATCGTAGAGGTAGCATGCTTACACACTTTGCACCGTGCAGCAGTTACAGTATACATCACTCCCCCTTCCATTGGCTCGAGGGGAATTCTCCGGAGAATATCCTGCAGCGTTCTCCGGGTGAATTCCGAGCGAAAAATGTGGCTGTTGCGTTCACATATACAGCTCCTCCTGCAAATAACAGGAATTTTCAGGAGTTTTCTGCAAGTGTGAAAGCACTATAAGTCAGTTTTTTGTGATACCAGGTTAATTATTTGAGGTACTTAATCAATATCTTGATTATGCCAATTCAAATTTTGCAATATTTTGCAATATTTAGTCCCTTTTTTTGGACACTACATCCATTTTTCCAAAAAGTTTTGTAAATCAAAGCAGTTATTTTTTTAATACTTAGTTTTTACTTTTTAAGGTAAACTCTCTCATTATCATTTGCATGATCTATTTTGTCTCACGTTGGCAGAAATGAGCTTCCATACTGTGCTATTGGGATAAAGTTCTAAATATTTGGAGCGTTGTTATTGAAGCCGTGGAGGTTAAACGTGTATTGATTGTTGCGATGACTGAAGGACCTGCAGAGAGATAAAGGTGCTCAGAGCAGAGCTGCTGACAAGAGGAGATCAGGCCTGCAGTCAAAATGAATTCTCAGCAAAACAGAGTTAATGATTACAGAGTCTTATCACTAACTGTGATTGATTTACGTCTTGCATGGCTCTTCATGTTTATTGATGCAATTGTTTACTTATTTGGTGCACAGAGGCTACATGAGTTGTTCAGTCTGGCTGCATGTGTATCAAGATAAAACCTGTTTTTGTGAATATGGCCTCCAAACTGAGACGTTTTAAAGAGGTGATCATTGGTGCTTTTGGCTTCAAGCATTATCATGAGGCATGGACTAATATTTGTAAAGATTGTGCATGAGATACAAAGTTGTAGACTTTACCAAAGTATGCAAAGAAATGTGTGAAATCGTTATTACCAAAGGAAAATCAGACAGAAAGAATCTAAGAAGTAATTTGCAAAGACATTTAGAACTGCATCAGTACTTTCCCCCCCATTCTTCCTACATTATGACATACCTTTAAATCTTACAGGCACTTTAAGTTCAAAAATTACCCTTAGGCTAAATGCTCATTGTAATATAAAAACTATCAACTTTAAAAAACGCAGATACATTTTGCCTTAAAAGTCGAGTCATGTGGCTGAAAAGACACCAAAAGTCACGTGTAGTGTGATACTGTTTGTCTCTTTATGCACGATCAAAAAGCCTTTTAAAGGATGTGTTTAGTCACTTGAATATATCCATTATTAAATGTGACATTTTTGCATAAACTCCAAAGAACGATGTAGCTAACGTCACAAGAAGGGCATGAACTCGCTTTGGTTAGCGGGGATTTTTAGGCCTCTGGACAGATTAGCTTCACTGGAGGTAAAGCGATGGATTATTATTCTGGAAAAAAGGGAAAATTAGATCCCTCTTTGAGCTATATAAACGCAATTTCTTCTTAACAAAACAAGAAGGAAAAAGTGTACGATACATTTTCCTGTCTAAACATAAATTTAACACATTTAGGGGATTATTAATATCGTAGAAAACAGGTAATTTGATTTTGATTTAAAAAATAAAAGGTGTATTTTTGTTCAATGAACGTAAGTGACAAGCTTCTAGTGACACAGAACGTATGATCTCCCTGCGGTCAGCCACAGGGGCTTGCATAAGCGGTGTTATTTGCAGATAGTTATCTGTTGACAAGGTCTTTGCCATGACACTCTACTCACCTATCTCCTCCATTTCCTGCAGGAAAGTGGAGCAGCAGCCTTTTTTCTGCTGCAGCCAGCACATTGTCTCCTTCTGTTTTACTCATATCGAACACAAACACACTCCTGGACGAGCTTTTAACACACTCTCCTGTGGTTCAGCTCACCCAGAAAGGAACAAAATAAGTCCACAGACAGTTTATATTCCAGTGATATTATTAACTCCTCCAGGCCTCCATAGTCGTCTTTCTTTCCTCCATGCTGTCAGTTTCTGCATTTTGATTTTACTGTGTTGCTTCCCTGCCGCCTGCCTTACAGATCGGACTTGTGGTAATGAATTGTAGTCATGAGGAGAAGGTACAAATAGGCAGTGGTTGCAAATGGAGTTTGGTCAGTGGTCGGAGATTCCTATTCAGAAGATAGACAGGACTTTGTTCACAAACTGGAGTTTGAAGTTTCAAAGGGGAGAATCACACAAGTGTTACATCAGGTCTCGGCGAGCCTTTGACTTTTAGCCCCGGGGCAGAAGTTTGGGTGACTGATTATAAGACAGCTCTGTCTGGACCATCACATTTCAACATGGCAGCCTCACACTCTACTCTGCAGGTGTTTTAAAAGGTTTAATTTCAGCTATGACCATAATATAGAGCTGTGTTAAAGCTCTGCTTCAGCAAATTTTTTCAACAATTTATTTTGAGCTCACAAACATAAAAATGAAACAGTTGTAAAAAACACACACTGAACCAAATAATCACAAAAACCGACACACTCAAAAAGGAAGAATCAAGAAAACCCTTAAATAAAGTAAAAAATAAAACCATGAAGCACTTAATTCGTTGTGCAATAAACTAAAGTACAGTGAAGATTAAAAACACACTAAAAGAACATAATTCCATTTTGGCCATGACAAATCAAATAAAAGTTTGTTGCAGATGTTATTGATGTTGTCAGTACATTTATGCATTTCTATTTTCATTTCTCACATTAGTTCAACTTTTAAATAAAACACACTTGTTTCTGGTCCTTAGTTTTGATTTTACCACGTAAAAAGTGTTCAAATATAAAAGACAGATACCTGCTGCTACAAACCTGGCTCTATAATCAAATTTAAAACAATATAACTAACTTAAAATATCTAATTTCATCTTATTTTGTGTCATCTTTAAGCAGGACATTATTCAACCATGCTATCAGCTCTTGAGTCTTTAAGAAAACCAAAACCTCGAGTGTTGAAAAATGAAGGCAAGTGCAAAAACTGCAGTTCCTCAGGTGTCCACTTGAGGCTGGCTCCAAAAGCAAAGGAATCTCCATTAGAGCTCTACCAAATCTACCAATTTTGCAGCAGATTTTTAGATTTTACAGCCTGGTTCAAAGTTTAAGAGATTTTGTTCATATTTTAACAATTGAGGGGTGTGGCTGAGTTGACGGACAGATGGTCCCGTTGTAGCTGTTTTCAAGAAGGCTTAAGGCCCGACACAGCTTCACCTCTTTGCCTCTGACTATTGACTGAAGTTGAGTCAGCATTTCCAGTATGGCGACCGTCATCTTTTGGCTTTTATTAGCTATAATGTTGAGATTTAGATGAAAAAGTTGATACCTCTGTCTGTTTGTATAAAGCTACAACACACAGCTGGTGAGCATAGCTTAGCATAAAGACTGAGAACCAAGCAGCAACCTCAGGTGTTGATATAAAAAGCCAATGCTAAAGTGCAAAAAGGTGCAGTTCCTTGAGTGTCCTCTTGAGACTGGCTCTCTCATATTAAAATGTTTATTTTAACAGCAGAAATAAACGTGTTTGCATCCTGGTTTGAAATACAACATGTTGTGCCAATGGCTCATTTCTTTATTCTTAAAAACTGTACGAGGGAAGACTTATTTTAAAACTCATCTTCTCTGTTTGCCAGGACACTTAAGGCTCGCCTTAGTTCCAGCTCTTTGCCTGTTAATAGACTGACTGAAAGTTTTGTAGAGTCAGCTTTTCCAATATAGCGACTAGCATTCCTGGGCTTCAAAATGCCTCTTGAAAAACCAATGGGTTACGTCATTGAGACTACGTCCATGTTTTATACGGCCCATGGTGAAAAACATGAGGAACAGCTAGCCAGGCTCACTTGAAGGTAACAAAACATGCTCACCAAATGCTCAATAACCCATAAATGAACATGTACAGTTAGCCCATATTATCCTATGATAAAAGTTCACATCACATTGTGGTTAGCTAGCAGGTTTCCTCCAGTTTCCAGTACACCAAATTAAACTGTCTGCCAGCTGAAGCTTCATATTGAGTGCAAAAAAAGATCTTTCTCATCTCACTCTTGGCAAGAAAAGTAATAAAAGTATTCCCCAAAATGTTACGGTGTTATTCTAAGAAGGCCTTTTTTTTAGTCGACAGGATTTTTAAAGAGATTTTAAACTTCCCACAGCAGAATTTTATGAATGGGCTCCAATAACTAAACTAGAATGTTTTACCAGAATAATAATGTGCCGCTTAATTCTGTTCATAGGCTTTATGTTTTATAGCCTCCTGCACGTGTCAATCCACTGTGGGAATGTAGGTACAGCATGTTAAGACAACCCTCCCCCCACCACCACCACCACCAATACTGCCATCAGAAAAAAGTAATAAGTTATGAGAGAATCTCGAGCTAACGTGCCCTATCCCTCCGATCAGGGCAGTTTGTCAGTTCATGATTAAGAAAGCTATAACTGTGCAGATTAAACTTTACAGTCCTGTATATGACTGTTCCTTGAGGAGTTCACAGAAATGTTTAAGATGGGAGCAGCGATAAAAAGCACTTTAATGACAGGGCAGATAAGATTTGCTCTGAGTGACTCATTCATAGCTCCACACTGATTCTCTCATCATCACCCCCTCCTCCCCCTCTCGTCCGCTGCTTTGAAATAATCAGCGCACTTCTTGAGCAAATATGGGCATTGCAGAAGAACCGATCGAACATGGAGAAATGTTGTAACGGATGACCTCTGTACACACAAGGGAAACTACACGAGCATCGCAGCAGTGTGTAATAAGCTGCTAATCATCTTTTGATCATGGGGCGTAGTTTCCATTGAGTTAATCAGGTTGTTAAAGATCCTCACTCAAGATCCGCATTTATTTTGTTTCTGTAAGACTCGAAGATCAATGACTTTAAATCTGTCTTCTGTAGGTTTTGATCACTTTCATTTTCATTTCTGATTGGATCACTGTGAGTCGTCAGTATTTAATCACTGAGAGTCGTGCACAGGAGCCTCCCGGGGGAATGTTACGGTGTTTACCTTGAGGTAGAAAAATAATTTTATGAGCGGCCCGTATAACTTGAGTGTGTGGTGAAAGGATGCACGTAGTCGGAGGGTTTACTGCCTCTGAGGTCGGGATGAACCTGGGATCGTTGACCTACTGCTATGTACTGGCACTTTCTCTTCAAATACAAGACTACTGTTTGCTGTGTGACATGGAAGAGGCGGCCTCTTTGCGCAAGCGAAGAATTTTATTTTTTTTGAAAAAACAATCAGATTCAGGATAACGTCCTTCAGAAGTCCCCTCTGATAAAACACCAGAAAAAAACTTCAAGTACATCATGGCTTTTTTGTTATTTTTTGGGGGGATTTCAAATACAAGAAGATATTTAAAGATTTCATTAAAAGAATTCAGGAAAAAATAACACATTGCTTTAACTCTCCCAGTCAGGATTAATATCCGCATACCAACCCTTGAATAAATAGTTTCCATACACTACCTGCATCAGTTTTAAGCACAAAGAACTTTGGCTCAGCACCTTTAAACGGCACACTAAAAGAAAACCCATTCATTGGAACATTAAATGTCTTTAAAACGCATGAAATCATATTTAGTTTAAAGTTCCACATCATTGACAGCCATCGTGGTTGTTTACTGTCTCATTAGATCTAAACCTGCCCTTAATTAGATAGAAGATAGTATGATCAGGTAGGTTGAAAATCTGTGGCCCAGATACATCTCTGCAAAAACAACATGAACTTTGCTGATTCTTCTGGTCTCCAGGCTAATAAACATTATTCCTGTTTTCAGGATTTTAAATTACTAATTGAAGACGACAGTTCAACATGAGTCTGGTTGTGAAGACGACAGTTCAATATGAGTCTGGTTGTGAAGACGACAGTTCAACATGAGTCTGGTTGTGAAGACGACAGTTCAACATGAGTCTGGTTGTGAAGACGACAGTTCAACATGAGTCTGGTTGTGAAGACGACAGTTCAATATGAGTCTGGTTGTGAAGACGACAGTTCAATATGAGTCTGGTTGTGAAGACGACAGTTCAACATGAGTCTGGTTGTGAAGACGACAGTTCAACATGAGTCTGGTTGTGAAGATGACAGTTCAATATGAGTCTGGTTGTGCTCGAGGTTTCTGCCTGTTAAGATGTGTTTCCTTGTCACTGCAACTTTGCTCAAGAGTTCAGTCTAGACCTGCTCTTTTTGTAAAGTGTCTCCAGATAACATCTTTTATCAATCGATGCTAGACAAATAAAGATTGAATGATTCATATGCCTAATATTTCACCTCTGCTCAAATGTCTATAAATAGTCTCGCTGGCCATTAAGACATTAAAACACATGAGCTGCTGCTGTAAATGTTACCCTACTATCAATATGTAATCATTCCCATAATTTAGAACATTTTATTCTTTCATAGGATCTTCTTCTGGAACATGTCTCACTTTGAAACAATCGCTCCCTTTAATGTTACTTCACAGTATTTGAACACTTAAAGGTGCACTATGGAGTTTGGGTAGAAAAATGTGAAAGTTGGAGAAGTGAACAGATTCTGTGATATATGGTCATAACTCTATACACAAACTGTCCTCAGAGGTAAATGTAGTCCCTGTAACACTGTTCGAAGATAAAATGCTATACGAGACGTTATAGTGGAGGACCGCTACAGGGAAACCTTCACTCTCCTGGTAGCTTTTAAGCTCCAAACAGTGTTCAGGGACCCATTTTTTTTCTTTGAGTAAAGTTTGTGTTTTCAGTTCAGACAATATTTTATAGAATTGTTTCACTTCTCCAACTTTTAAATCTCACTACCAAAAACCACCAAAAACCATTAAAAAAAATCTATTACAGCAGCCGCAGTTGAAACAAACATTACAAATCTTATTGGTGTTATGAATATTCAAACTTTATACTCACAGCTGTATAATCATATACTGCTAATAAATCATTAACTGTTTACACTGCAGCTGCACTAAAGAGCTATATGGACATTATAATCTCTTTGATTTTATAGATCATCTTTGGATATTATAAACCGTACATTCAGCATATAAATGTTGCTAAGAGACACTTAATAACTGGCCCTTGTTTCTCCACTGGGATCATTTTCTTTTTGCTTTTGGATTGTTGCACAAAATAATCTCCGTGGCATACAACAGTTCATGATACTGATACTCTTGCATTTTATTAAGCAAGATAATCTCAGATAAATAGTCAAATGATCGGCCTTTGATTCTTCAAGAGTGAAACACAAATATTAAAAACGGGTTGTGTAGACCGAGATCATGTTGAGGCTCTTTTTAAGAGTCAAATCTGCATCTGAGTCCACCGATCTTATAAACAATATGCAAAGCGTTTATTTTGTCTTTATGAATTTTTTTCCTTTTACCGATTTCCTGAGATGCTTCACGATATTTTCACATAAACTTTTGCAGCAGCTGAAGACCTGAGAGCATTTTTTGTTGCAAAGAACAGCAGAGAAGAAGTGTCACCTGTTACCTTTCATCTGCAGAATAATTCCTTTGAGATGGAAATAATCTATGCAACTTAAACGTTGATTAAATATACTGTTAACCATCCAGGCTGTCTCTCCGAGGAGCAGCGGTCGCTCCAAGTGTTGAGCTTCTGGATCAGCCTCACGTGCTCCTTGCATTTTCACAAACAAAGAAGTCTTTGACATAAATGCATCACTTTGCTTCAGCAAGACTTATAACCCGCGGTAATATGCCAGACTTACCTCCGTCTTAGCATTACACGTGGAAGTAGGTCTAAATATGACGGACTGATATGATGGGGAAAGTGAGTTTCCTGTAGAGAGGAGAACCACGGAGAACTGGTCCTTTAACACACCAAGCAAATCCACGTTGTCAAAATAAGAGCTGTAATTATTGCTGCAACTTGATGAATGTGAATCTGTTTTAAGAATCATAAGATCGTGCACTCTTTCTACAGCTCTGGTGGAGATAATCACTTTTGATATATTTCTGTAGTTTAATTGAGCAGATTTAATTAATATTTGTCATCTATTCAACTGATCATATTTTGTAAGAAAATCTTATTTTGAAAGGGAAATACAGCTCTCAACATGGAGCAATTAATGTATTAGTTAAATTTGAAGTGATTATGATTTGTATGTTTGAAAGTCTTTTACAGTATCTTAGTTAAAAATCAACTCTTTGATTTTATTTTTCTTGCTCTGCATTAAAATCTGTTATCATTCAGAATCTGTGAACCTCTGCATCAGTGGATCTCAACTTGTGGGTCGGGACCCAAAAGTGGGTCGTTTTTCAGTGGGTCGCTAAAGTGTGCCTGGAAAAATAAAGTTTCAAAAAGTCTAAAAATCACTTTTAAAACATGTTTGTTTTTGTTTCATCTCTTTGTACTGATATACTTTGCACAGTCCGAGGTCCAAACTGCGCCATTTTTCATGAAAAAAATCTTATTGGTTAAAAAATATCTGAAATTTGGGTCGCGATTTGTTATTAAGGAGTTGGTGGTGGGTGGTGAACCACTTCACTACATCACTTTATTCTCTTGAATTAAAGCTGCCTGCATATTAAATAAGGATAAAAAAATCTGTATTTTCAGTCAGCTCGAAGTCAGTGTAGCTCGGGACGTTTTTTTTTATGGTTTCCGATGATGACATTCTGTGTGCTCTGCTGGATTGTTTTGTATGATAATTGTGCATAGACATGTTGGTGCGGATAAACTTTTGCTTTAATATTGTTTTACCTATTCTGCATCTAAAATGACTAAAGTTTAGGCTCAGCGTTTTACCCTGATCATCACCTTGGAGATCTTCTTCAGAACCACTTAAAACAACAAATCGGTGCCTTTGAGTCACTGGGTTTGCTCAAGTTTGTCTAATAAATTTTTTATTTATAGAGTGCCAAATCACAAGGAATACATCTCATGTCACTTTGCATAAAGACCAGACCAAACTGTTCATATTACTCAGGAAGACCCTGCATAAATCCACCTATAAGCAGGAATCAGCAACAGTGGCAAAGAAAATGTTCCATTGAACAGGCGGAACCTCGAGGACAACCAGACTTATTTGTGAACAGCCATCAGCTGCGACTGTTTGGGCCGAGAAAGTGGGTTAAAGAGAGAGGCAGAGAGAGACAAACAGACTGTGATAACAACAGGTACAACACACTTTTAACAACTAATAATGCAAGTGAAAACATGTCTTACATAAGCAATAACGTCTGTAAGAAGATGTGCTTTGCTTCGATAAAAGTGATTTCAACATGCAGTTGACAGAAACTCTCCAATCTGCAGACACAGGAAGGTATGAGTATGAGGTGTGTGATATGTAATGAATGCATGCTTCACAAAGTGTTTGCTAAAAAAGGAAATGGTCTACAGTGGTGCAGCAGTGATTTAGCAAAGGACTGACTCTGACACAGCTTTCATTGAAGAATTGTTGATCGTTACTGAGAGAGAAGAGGTGGCCGATATCAAAGCTGTGCTACTATCTCTTCTAAAAAAAAACAAGGCTGTGATTTGGCAGTGGGGGGGGGGGGGGGGTTAGTTAACCATCAACCAGGAGAGAGACACTCCACCTCTGCTCTGGTTAGCGGCACGAGGGAAGGAGGAGAAGGAGCTTTGGCTGTCAGTCACTCGTCTCCAGCGAGTCGCCATCACACTCAACTGGGCCAAGGGGAGCTACCTTGTCAGTGGGCGGAGCTATGAGCAGGAGGGGGTTAAGGTGGGGGGGTGAGGGGGGTCAATGGAGGTGTGAGAATGGAAGGGAGGAGGAGGAGGAGGAGGAGGAGGAGGTGGGGGGTGCATGAGCTTCTTGGACAAGTCTTCTGCTCCTCTGTCAGGTAGTTGAGAATTTGTTGGTTCCAAAGCGCCGGCAGACATGGACATGGCAGACTACAGCGAGGCTCTGGACCCAGCTTACACCACGCTGGAGTTCGAAAACATGCAGGTGCTCCCTTTGGGCACAGGTGAGTCCCCCGTATACTCAGCTCTGAACTTTGAAACTTTTACTGAGTTTAAACTTTGGTCGTGCAGCAGAGAGGGAGCTGTAGCGTGCAGTGATAAAGAAAAAAAAAAAGGGGGGTAATTTGTCCGTCTGCTCGCGCTCATGCAGTGGTCTTCTTTTTTTATCACCGGTAAAACATTAAGAGACTTTGATTTACGAGATTCTCACTCAGGGTCACTTAGATCGGACCTTGTTTCAGCCTGTGGAGGGGATGAAGAGTCAGACTGATATTCATCCTCTAATGAAGCAGAAGTTTTAGTATCTCTTGTTACAAACGGTCTTTTTCCCACAGAGTGTAAAGTGAAGAAAAAGAGTCTCACAGTGACACCAACTTATTTATGAATGCACTCTCCCATGACTTCTGGCTGGGATCCTGATTCTTCAATTCCCAATGAGACAAAAGCAAAAGTAAAAACCGCACTTTGAACAAAATGTTTTCCTCACTGCCATGTTTTCTCCTCCATTATATAAAAAATTATGAGAGTGTTTGTTGAGTCAGCCTGCAGCCTGTGTCATGACACACACTGTGATTGATTGACCCGGTCTGGTGACTGTGTGGGTGACTCAAAAGGAAAGCTGTCTCCAGTGATTGCCTTTTCAGTGGTAATCAAGCCGACATCAGTGACTCTCTGTTGACTCTGTTTTGAGCCACTCAGTCCGGTAACAGATCCTCCACTCAGGGTCTCATGAGGGTGGGTGTTGATCAGCTGTCAGTGATCAAATCCCCGGGCCGTTCACACCTTTTTAAAATCAAATCAGCGACAAAACAGTACTCAGAAGCTTTTAAATATGTCTTGATGCCTGCCATTTAAGCTGACCTGATGAGCCATTTCCCTCTTCTTTCTCGCTCTGTCAGACTCCTCACCAGCTGAGAGCGCCAACATGAACGCCCCTGGCCACCTGGGGGCAGGCAGCCTGTGTGCCATATGTGGAGATCGAGCCACCGGCAAACACTACGGGGCGTCCAGCTGCGACGGCTGCAAGGGCTTCTTCAGACGCAGCGTCCGCAAAAACCACATGTACTCATGCAGGTGAGGACAGATCCAGAAAGAGGAAACTTGAGTCCATGAATTTTTCACAACTTCTGATCTGTGACACTGAGCCAATCACGGCACATGCAGCCCTCAATTGTATCTACACCAAGCGCTGATATTTTGCAAAAGATAAAACATAAACTTTCAACACTAGATTGCAGAAAAAAGCTTAAGGTGACATCTGTAAATCTATACTTTTGTCCATTTACAAAGTTATCTTACATTTAGTTTTTAAAAAGGGCAAACAAATGCTGACATCTCAGAAGCTAGATTTGCTTTAAAGAATACTAAACGAAGTCTTCTCTTCTTAAATTGTCAATTCAAGCATTTTTTGACATTTCAAGTCTGCAAAACTGGAATTGCTCCCCTCGTCACAACCGTGTCTCCCATATTTTGCAGGTTCAACAGACAATGCATTGTGGACAAAGACAAGCGAAATCAATGCAGATACTGCAGGCTGAAGAAATGCTTCCGAGCCGGCATGAAGAAAGAAGGTGGGATACTTTAAACTGACTCAACCTATTTTTTTGTGTGTGAAAAGATTCTCTTATAATCTGAATTTCCCATTTAATCAGCAAATCACTGCCGCTCTGAAATCGAGTGTGTTGCAATCCCCATGAGAGGAGCACTTTGTTAATGTTCACTCCGTGCAGCGGCCGAGTCTCTAACCAGCTTATGCTGAGCAAACAGTTCAGAGCAATAGCAGCCATATACTGATAAACATGACAGCCTCAGAGAGACATTTTTTCTTTCAAGTGAGTTCTTTGTGCAATGCAGAAATAGAGAGAAAGGAAGACTTCAACTATTGTTTTTCTTGGATTTTGATTTATTTTTCCTGCATATTTGTCTTGTGCAAACTGAATAAAATCTGCAATCTGTGTTTCTGTAGCCGTGCAGAATGAAAGAGATAGAATCAGCACCAGGAGATCCAGCTATGAAGACAGCAGTTTACCATCCATCAATGCACTCATCCAGGCAGACGTTCTGTCAAGACAGGTGAGCTCCACTACATCATTCGACTGTGATGAATCACTTATCACACCCTCAAATGACTTCACACTTTTCCCTCCTCTTCCCTCCACTAGATCACCTCCCCTGCTCCCATCCTGAACGGCGACATCAGGACCAAAAAGATCGCCACCATCACAGATGTGTGCGAGTCCATGAAGCAGCAGCTGCTGGTCCTGGTGGAGTGGGCCAAGTACATCCCGGCCTTCTGCGACCTGCCCCTGGATGACCAGGTATAAGACTCATTCAGACACACAGAGTACATGGTTGTATAGACACTCTGGTCACTCATCAACCAGGAGGCTCTAATACATCGAGTGAGCCTGCAGGATAGATAGACTCTGAATGTAGACATCTAAATGCAGACAATAAAAAGCAGATCATTTCTAAAGATCATGAAGCAGCACATGTTTTTTTTTCCCTCAGGCAAAACCTCCAATTGTTCACCCACAGTGGTTAATGTATTTTAATCCTGAGTTAGAAAATGATGAGCTGGTTTTAAAGAAGAATCAGTGCAGAATCATTAACAGTGTCATCACCAGGCCTTGGTAACTGATTTGCTGATGTTGTATCAGCGAGGAAGCCAGTGTTTCCCACAAGATTTTTCTAACATTGTCTTTTGAGTTAAGGAAAAGGATGTAAACAATTTCAGACTGTACTTGTACTCAGAGTTAATATCACTCAGCTTAATTGTTAAAAAAACAAATTCCCTGTGTTTCAGGTGGCGTTGCTGCGAGCTCACGCTGGAGAACACCTCTTGCTCGGTGCTGCAAAGAGATCCATGCTTTACAAAGACATCCTCTTATTAGGTAAAACACACACACAAAAGGAGCGATTTCACCGATCTCATATCGCTGCTGATTATCCACCAATTCACCAAGAAAGGCAAATTCATTGCTTCGGTTTTTAAATCTCACCCTGAACTTATTTTCTCCTGCAGGAAATGACTACATCATTCCCAGAAACTGCCCGGAGCTGGAGGTGGGCCGGGTGGCGGTTAGGATCCTGGACGAGCTGGTGCTTCCCTTCCAGGAGCTTCAGATAGACGACAATGAATACGCCTGCTTGAAAGCCATCGTTTTCTTCGACCCCGGTACGACTGTTGACTCGTCTCTATAACTGTTTGGGCCAGCGGGAAGTTCAAAAAGAGAGTTTGCGAGACGCTACATACATATATAACACATCTCCTGCTTTTTTATTTATTTCTGCACAGATGCTAAAGGCCTGAGCGACCCCGGAAAGATCAAGCGGATGCGATACCAGGTCCAGGTCAGCCTGGAGGACTACATCAACGACCGGCAGTACGACTCGCGGGGACGCTTCGGGGAGCTGCTCCTGCTGCTGCCGACGCTACAGAGCATCACCTGGCAAATGATCGAGCAGATCCAGTTTGTCAAACTCTTCGGCATGGCCAAGATCGACAACCTGCTCCAGGAGATGCTTCTGGGAGGTGAGACCTGTCAGACCATGTGGACCACCAAGTCTTTGGTTGACATCTGAAGCTTTGGGTCAAGAACAGTATAAAACTGTATTTACAAAAGAGAAACTGAAATCCACTTAGTCTTCTTTCTGTGTGAGTTAGGGTCTCATCTGTGTATTAGTAAGCAACATAAACGTATTAGAATTTAGAGATTTGGTCAATCCTGAAATCAACATTTTGCAATTGAAGAGTTATTGGTGTAATAACTCTGTAATAACTTTGCACCGAGCAACAAGTTATGATTGCATTCACAGCTTTGAGAATAAATAGTTACATCTTAGCGAACAATGACTATGTATGCTTTCTGCTTACTATGCTAAAGTTAGCTAAGAGGATATTTCACCATACAGCGGCCAGTTTAAATCATTATTTCCAGATGGCAGGGCTGCTGACTCAAACAAAGTGACGCTGATTGTCACGTGCACAGATATTGCATGCGTAGCCAAGGAGACGTGAACAAACAAACGATTGGCCACGCCCACAATTAGCTGTTGTTTTTTTTTTAAATCTAGGTTTTCTTGAAAGGATAATTTTCTATCAAAATCTTTGTGGATGCTTAACTTTCATATTTTGAATTTGAGCTTTTCAAGCCAACCGTCCAGAGGCTTTAAGTGTCTGTGTTTTGTCTCTCAGGTTCTGCAAACGAGGCTCAGCATGCGCCCCACTCTCTGCACCCTCACCTGGTTCAGGAGCACCTCAGCAGCAATGTTATACTGACCAGCATGCCAACGCCCATCCACAACAGTCAAATCTGTAAGGAGCAAATACATGATGTTCTAGTTTTTTTAATGCTACACACTGCAGAAGAAGTTTGTCGTTTAGTCTACCCACGTTTGATCAGAAGCTTTGAATCTAGGTGACCTGAAATCACAGATATTTAATTGAACAAACTGGTAAATTTCCCTCTCACTGCTCTGTGTGTGTGCAGCCTAGTCAGGAAGCTGGAAAGGAAAAACAGGCTCGGCAGAATAATCCTCTAAATGCTCATTGGAAGCTAATCTGGCTTATTTTGTCAAAGAAAACTTCTGTTATTCTTTCTTAACATGTTTAATGCTCTGAGAAATTTCACAAAAGTGCTTATTCCTCATCTGAAAATAATGTTGCCCCAAGTTATACCAGCGACCTGTGAATATACACCTGCTTACGCTGCAGCTTCTCTCTCTCTCTCTCTAACTCGCTCCTGTTCTACTTTTTCAGCCACTCCTGAAACCCCGATACCATCTCCGCCCACTGCCTCCAGCTCAGAACATTATAAAATGTCTCAGGGGGTCATAGCCACCGTGCCCAAGCAGCCCACCTCCATCCCTCAACCGACTATTACAAAGCAAGAGGCCATCTAACAATCCTCTGTCCTTAATCCTTCAGTTTTTTTTTATTGTGTCAAACCAAGGTGTTGATATGTACGTACACTATCAGCGTTGAAGCTGTAAACTCGACTGAAACAATAAAACTAGCTGAACATGTAGAGTGTGATTGCATGTGTTTCCCTTGCAGATTGCTGTTTTTTTTCTTCAGGGATCTATTTGTTCACACGCGAAGCTGCAGTTGAGCTCAGCGACAGCCCGACAAAATGCCAGCATTTAAACTGTTCAGATATGTTGTTGTTCTGTAAGATTAACGCATAGAAATACATGGTTGTGTATATAGTTTATTATTGGGAAACGACTCTTCTTTTAGTGCGGCCTCAGTGTGTGCAGTAGGGCTTCAGTTAGACATGGTGACATGATCATGTCAGTATTTTATGAATGTTACAACAGACCTTACTTTGTGGTATATTTAGTGTTGCACAGTCTTTTTATTTAAGCATTTTCATTTTATCAAAGCTAAAAGAAAATCCCTTGTGTAACTTCAGCTATGGGGGGGGGGACTTTGAAATATTCTGTGACAGGACTTAAATATCTGTGGTTTGTTTGGTGTGGTGGAAAGAAAATTGAAAACCAAGAAATCTTGGTGCATTAATGAACGCTGCCGGGTGTCACTTTGTAAAAGTCCCAGGCAGGCACACTGAGGAAGTTTCCCAATAATATGTTGTATTTGTGTATGAAAAATATATTCTATTTTTTGTTTAGTACTCTGTCATGGTTTAACTGATGGACTAAAAGTGTGCCTTGTAACCTGTACTGCCTTACAAAAAAAAACAGGATTTCTTTTTGCCTTTTAATGTGAAGATGAATTAATAAATGTCAAGGTCTATTTTTACATCCCTTTTCTGCACATCGTTTTTTTTTTTGTACCAGCTTGACTTTTTCAGGAAAGACTTCTCTTCTCTTGATATTGCAATGACATAATGAATAGAATAGAATCACTTTATCGATCACAAACTGGGACATTTTGGCAACAGCAGCTTATCCCAACACACAATATTAGCAAATAAACACAATATGATACTAAATACAAAGTAAATAAGCACAAAAAATATCAAAACTAAGAATGAAAATGAGAAATCAGACATGTTGTGGAGGAACAAGAAGGGTCCAACGTGGCAGTGCAGCTTGGTCACTGATAACCACATGTTGCTTCAGACTGATAAGGTGTCATATAATCATTATAGATAGCACTGATTCCAGAAGATGAGAAAAGGGATTTATCTCAACATTAAAACTGTTGTTGATGTGCATTTTAATACGACTACAACTAAATGACATAAATGTTTGACTTGGTGAAAAGTTAAAAATCTTCAGACATGAAAGAAATCCAAGTTCAGTATTTGTTTTGATACCAAACCATCAAACAATAAGGCTACATGAAGAGAAACGATGTTTTTAATGATTCATTGTCAGAGTGAAGTTGAAGACAAACCTGTCAGTTGTTGAAGCCTCATGTTAAACTACTGAAGGAGTGACAGGGACAATAAGGCGGAGTAACATGTAGACAAACTCTGCCATCTACCGCCTTCATGTGTAACTGAAACAAATAAACAAAAATCAATTTCAAATGTACCCCATCATGCATAAAGCTGAAGTCGTAAAAAAAAGTGTGCGCACAAGATTTATGTTTTTTTATTTTTTTTATTTTGCCACTTTAGGTCTGAAAAGAATTACGAGAAAAATATTATTTCCAACAGTAGACAATATCGGATTTAATTTGTATCTTAATACCTTAAAACGAGTTTTAAAAAGAGGACTAAATACAGTCGTTATGCTTTAGAAAGGTTGTGAACATGTTTGTCATTATTATGTGTGATTCAGTTGCACTCAAGTCCCAAAGAAAAGCTGTAGGAAATATTAAACACGCTGTTTGTTTTTAGCAAAGAAAATCTTTCACGTTGTAAAGTCATTGAATAAAGAAGCTTCTTCAAAAGAAACTCAAAAACACTCAACGATTCTATATTTGCCTTCCCACTCTCCTTTTTTTTCATTTTTTCATTCGCGGGTAGGTGTTGTGTATTCTCCGAGGGGACGTGAAGGCAACATCATCATCATCAAAACAACCGACGTTCGAATCGAACGCAATGGAACGTCAGCGGCGCCTCACGTGGCCGCCTGTGAGCCAATGAGAGAGAGCGGAGTTCACCAACCCGGAAAAAAAGGATTTCTTTCCTGACAGGTCGGTTGAGATTTTTTTTTCGACTCTGTGTTTTTTGTTGTTGTGGGTGTTTGCAGCGTGTTTTTTGATGACACTTCATCACTTTCCAATGAGTGTTTATTAAAGACGACCATGTGTTTCCTGTATCGATGATGCGTTTGATGCATTTTCGGTTTTTCAGTCATTATTCTGACTTCAGTTCTGTCGCATCGGTTCTGCTCCTGATCAGGTTGTGTTAGTCAGTCAGCTGAGACTGTGACTCAGTGATGAGCAGACACATTTACTGAGCTGATGTTACTCCTCCACTTCTATTCTAATGCATTAAAAAAACATTTAACCTCTAATATCTGTTGTCAAGTTTAATTTAAAGAAGTTACAAAGCATGTGTGTGACACAGTCTGCAAAAAACAAATCTAGCCTTGTCTTGTGTCTCCTTCCAAACAGCTTCATCCAGTCAGTCCATGGATGATCAGCATGAGTCCATTGATCTCAGGTCTCCTCCGGTGGACCCATCAGCGGCTGCGGGACACTGCTGGTTCCCTGGACCCCCTCCTCCCATGTACTCCTGCACCCTGACCCCCGAGCTGGTGGCCAAGGCCCGGGAGGAGCTCCAGGAGAAACCAGAGTGGCGTCTCCGGGATGTCCAAGCGCTGAGAGACATGATACTGAAGGTTTCACTTTCACAGACATGCATCATAAAAAACAGAAAACAGTCTTTATGTCAGAAAAATGTAAATCAGGAAAGGACAGCTCAGTAAAAAAAACACTAAAATGAGATGTCTTTGTCTCTGTATACCCCCAAACCTCGAGTGATTGGTTATTCCTGATGCTGTTTTAAATTCTCACATTTGTAAACTAAGTTATCTCTGTGTGATACTGTTTACACCTACGAAGCTGTTCTTAATTATTTACTATGAAACTTTAACCGAACTTGATGATGACTGATCTTTTTTTTAACCTTCTGGAGGGATTCTGGGGTTACCATGCGAGATAAACACCTTTCCCTGCTCCCAAAGTGTGTACTTTTTCTTTTTTTTTCAGCTCTTTTTACGCAGTGTGCATTTAGTCTGGACACACGACTTTGCCATAACATTTCTGTCTGGCAACTTGGAGATTTAAAACCACTCTTAGATAAGTTGTCTAGATGATTCACTGCTCAGAGGATTACAATACCTGCCTGAATAGTATAAAATAAAAAAACCTGCTTGGATTGCGCTCAGTAAATGTAACCAGATAAAGATGGGCATCCTTTTATTTTATCATTCTGCCTTTGACAGACTTGTATTTGAATATACTTGATTTCTTTCTTGACTATAATTCGAGAACAAAGTATGTCTACTGGAACACTTCCTTCATCTCAGATACATCCTGACTTCTTCAGACTTTTCTCTCCTCCTTTTTTGTTTTCATTTAAAGATTACTTTTTTTTTAAAAAAAAGGTCACGACATGGCAAACATTCTTATTAAACAAAGGGTTAATGATGTTCTCAGCTGGGTACTCAACTGAAGTTGTTTCCAAACATCACTTAAATACAGTCGTAAATAATGCATTTTAGATTGACATTTTCAGCCACTTTGTACTGTGGGATGGTTATTGTTCAGAGGAGTAAAAACAGAAGGCTTCAGACAGGCAGACTTGTTGAAGGTCTGGTCCAGGTCTTTCCTTAGGCCTTGGTGACAGTATAAAAACATCATCAGACTGACCCTGATGGTATTTCAATGCTCAGTTTTTCACATGCAGCCGACTGAAACGTCTTTTTGCCTCTGATCTGTTTTCAATCCGACTCTTCAGGAACAGCCCAATCTGAGGACGAGGCTGGACGACACCTTCCTCCTGCGCTTCCTGCGGGCCAGGAAGTTCGACTATGACCGCGCCCTCCAGCTGCTGCTCAACTACCAGGCGGGGCGCAAAGCGTGGCCCGAGGTGTTCCAGGACCTGAAGCCGTCCACGGTGAAACACGTCCTGGACCTGGGCTTCCTCACCGTCCTGCCTCAGCCCGACCCCAACGGGAGATACATCCTGTGTCTGCGGCCCGGTGGGTGTCCGCTTCATTCTCACAGGGGAATTCAGGACATTTGTTGTGAATGAACTTTTCTGTTATTATTGCCTTTCATTTCCCCCTAACACTTGTATTGTGAATTATTCTCTCATAGTTTTTTTTGTATTTGTCTAAATGATCCATTCCTGTCAGGATCAATTAGTGATTTACTTTTTCAGGATGGACTTTTCTTAATATTGTACGCTGCTGACTCCACTCTCTCTCCGTTTCCAGGGAAATGGAAACCAAACGATTATCCGTTCGTCGACAACGTGAGGGCCATCTATCTGACTCTGGAGAAGCTGATCCAGCCGGAGGAGACGCAGGTGAACGGTATCGTCATCCTGGCCGACTACACCGGAGTGGGAATGTCACAAGCGTCCAATCCGGGCCCGTTCCTCGCCAAGAAAGTAGTGAGCATCCTCCAGGTGAGAATCTCAGCATCTCAACCAGCATGAAGAAGGAAACAGTCAAAGAACAAAAAAAAAAACAACAGCTTCAATTTCTAGCTCCACATCTTAACTGAAAGTGACCCGAAAACATTTCTCTGCACTCTTGCTACCTTGTTTCCATGGTAACCACAGACCCAGCTTCTTTGTATGTTTTAATGTATCGTGCAGCTCATTAAAAGAGAGTCTAGAGGGCGAGATTAATTAGAAGAAACTCTGACTGCTGTGATGTCATCTGAGGCGGAGTGATACACATGGTTAAAAGTCTCAGTGATGTTGTGTTCTATCAGCACTCATGGGACGCCTCTCGTCCAGTCAGGATATTCGACACTAGCTGTTGTATGATATCTAATGAGCCAGTGACACTTTTTTTGTTAGAATTAGTTGTGTTCTCAAATTGAATCAGGAAAGATGATTTGGATTTTTTCTGCTCAAATGATTTTATTTATGAGTAAATATTTCTGACTTTATAAAAACAATCAAAAACATTTTGATTTACAACAAACTCTCGTGAGCACCGCCTGATGAGCTGTGTCGTGACTGCAGAGTGTTTCTATTTATACACACACACACACACTCACTCACTCACTCTCTCTCTCTCTCACGCTCACGCACACGCTCACACACACACACACTCACTCACTCACACTCTCTCTCTCTCTCACACACGCACACTCACACACACTCACTCACTCACTCACTCTCTCTCTCTCACGCTCACACACACACACACTCACTCACTCACACTCTCTCTCTCTCTCTTGCGCACACATACACACACACTCATTCACACACACATTCTTTCTCACGCACACACACTCTCTCTCTCTCACACACACACACACGCACACACTCACTCACACTCTCTCTCTCTCACACACACTCTCTCTCTCTCTTGCGCACACACACACACGAGCCACTTGAAAGTTTTGTCGAGTAAGCGCTGTGACTCTCTTCTCGTTTGCAGGACGGGTTTCCAATCAGAATCAAGGCCGTCAACATCATTAACGAGCCGCGGATTTTCAAAGGCATCTTCGCTATAATTAAACCTTTTCTGAAGGAGAAGATGGCAGAGAGGGTAACTACGTCCTTCAATTATCTCTGACTGTTTGAGTGTTATCATGTAGAGTGTGCCTCCCTCTTTCTGCTCAGCCTTTGTAGGAAAAAAAAAAAGTTTATTTTCAACTCAGAAAACGGAAGAGAAGCTTTCTCTTTCCAGAGGTAAGAAGTCAGAGTACCAGAAACAACAGCACATATAAGATATAAGAAGGCTTTATGTGTGCACCTGAACCAACTCACCATCATTTATAACACGAGGTTTAAACAGAACACTGACATGTTATCAACTGAAAAGTTCTTATGGTGAACTTTTCACTAAATGCAGCAAAAACGGGGGGTTGGTATGGGTGATGTAGGATAAGTCAGGGGATGCAGATACTTAAAAAAAAAGATAATAAACTTTAGCAATAACTGCACAGAAAAGAAGAACATGGAGAGAATTTTTTATAATTTGTTTATTTTAAATAATAATTTTTATTATACTAACGCCCAAGAGACAAACAAAAACACAAGAAGTACACTTCACCTCTCCATAAAGCCAGGACAAAACAAAACACAGTAAAACAAAGAAAAAAGAAACAAAACAAAAACGACCAAAAGAAAGAGAATTTTTAATGAAGAATTGAAGATCAAGAAATGGCATATTTGTTTGTTTATGTGTATGCACATGTTTGGATGTTGTTGGTGTTTGAGGAGGGGGGGGGGGGTCAGGGTCAGGGAAGGAAGGAAAGTCTAAGGGAGAGCATGTTGGCTCGAAAACATCACTTAATAAATCCTTCAAACGGGGAGCTTCTTGATGTGCGGATCTTGTTTTGCTCTCCTCACCTTTAGTGTTTTTTTGGATCCAGCTTGAGCTTGTCTTTTTTTATATTTAATCAGGTTAGGGCAGGAAGACCTTGAATCATTTAAAAATATTTTTTTATGCAGGCTTTGTGAAATCAGCAAATATTCTAAAGTATCCTAAGTACCGATACAATTTAATATCATAAAATAACTTTGTTTACACAGGAATAAGGATAAACTGAATACCCTGGCGGCTGTATAAGATAAACTACAGCGCCCTGCAGGTTTCAGCCGGGTTCATTATTAAGAGTGACACCTTTAATACGACATGAAATATTGATCACTTAAAGTAATGAGGCTGTCTGAGACGGATGATATCACCGACATGTTATTGACTCCCCTCTCCTCTCGCAGTACGTCCTCCACGGCTCAGACCTGCGCTCTCTGCACCGAAACATCCCCCGCTCGGTTCTGCCCGAGGAGTACGGCGGCACGGCGGGCCAGCTGGACATGCACGCCTGGTCCCGACTCCTGCTGGACTGCGAGGAGGAGTTCATAGTGGAGTTCTGCCAGCCCGATCCACTAGAGGGCGTGCTGCTCCCAGACTCCATGCTGTTTGATGGAGAGCAGGCCGGCGGGCAGGACAACGACGACACCTTCAGGGGGATCCGCTCTCAGCTCTACTACTGTTACTGAAGCCATCACCGAGAGGACTCTGTCTGTGGAGACTTTTAAAAGGGCACGTTGCCAATATTAGACAGGATTTATTTTAGTAACAAAGCAGCACTACAGGTGGATAGTCTTTTCTAGTTTACACGTAGCCCAGCATCTAACCCGGGTGCACAGGCAGCTGCAGGCTAAAGCTGGAGCCGGTGCATGTTGGTGTCCTCTGTGGATTCATATCTGGTATTTAAGGGTTAAGTTTACATTCTTTAAAAAGTCATCCATACATTGAATCAGTTTCTGCTTTGGGATACGTCCCTCCTGTCTCACTCCCATTGGCTGTTATGTCAAAAAAAACATTTCCTCTACTGACCACACACGCTGGTCTGGGGCTTCTGATGTTAGCAGAGTTTACCTGAGTTATCTGGATATCTGGGAGAAGACTTCCTCTTCTACGCTGTGGTCTTTTTTTTTTTTCAGTCTGATAAGCAACTTGAGATGTTCACATGGAGTGGCAACATCCGCAGTGTGATATTACATGCAGATATTAACGAACTGATGAACACAACCTTTCCCTTGAGAAACAGCTGATGGGTTCCTCGATTGCATTTTGATCCAAAGCATTACCGGACATTTACTCACCACCGATTGTTTTCCTGTAAACCCTCTCAGACCGATGAGACACAAAGTCTCGCTTCAGTCGACCACACACACACACACACACACACACACACACACACACACACACACACACACACACACACTGTACACGCCAACCCCTGTAGTTTTAATCCTAAACCTTACTAAGTTGTTTTGTTGCCTAAAACATGCAGTTAGCGTGTGGCCTGCTGTGCGTCTGCAGGCCTTCTTTATTAAACCTCCGACTACAGACACACTCAGAACTGAAACCAAAACACTGCTAATGGCAAAATCTTTCTCCTCTCCTGCAGATTCTGATCAAATAGCTGATTTTAAAATACTTTTTAATCAGTAATTCAAAGATAGTGTTTTATTTGTTGCCATTTTAATATGTCACTTTGAGAAAGTAAGGTTAGTATGTGGAGTGACATGCACCACGGTGACACACCTGGAGTTAGATCTGTTACCTCTGTACATGGGGCGTCCTCTTTTACCAACTGAGCCAAACCAGGGTCCCTGAAAGTTTGTTTCTAATACGCTTCCGATGTGAGAGATGGGGAACAAAGCCACAGTCCTCGTTTTGTTACCTAAGCTTCAGCAGAGTCGGTTCAAATGGGTGTCAGAAACACTAGGAGAATTTCATTTAAAAACAGTAGAAGTGTCCGATATGTTTCGATACCATGTGGTTTTTTTTAAAGCGATACAATCTCCAATATTTGAATGATTCATAGTATCCAAAAAGTTCACCCGCTTCATGAGACAGGCGCCTCAGAGAGGAGTAAATCCATCAAAAAATAGCAAGCAAACATCTGCAAACTGTCTAAATTGCACTATTATGTTGGCAATGTTTCTGTAATGATGCCTTAATGAAACAAAGACAGTTTACAGGTGTTTAGTTGCACTTTCTGATAACTGAAAACAAGAAACTACCATTATTGGTTGCCTAGGACTTCTATTTTTGGAATCAAAATCATTTTTCACTGGAATAGTATCAAAGATTATTTAAATTCTGGTATCATGACAACCCTGAAACAGTTTATTTTAACTGTATTGTTTTGCACATTGTTTGGCTAACTGGTGGACTACTGATCCTCCATCTTTTCTTTTGGAAGCACGTTAGAAACGATGACTTTTACTGTCGGTATGATCACATCCAGCAATCACTGTTTCAACGTAAACATAGTTTTCAGACGGTCATGGAAAAATGTGAACTCACCCCTCCACTGCGGAAGGATCTAAAAAACATTTCTTCCGTTTGTTTAGTATCTGCATACCGTCCTTCAGTTTGAGTTTATATATGACTCTTATACATTCAACTCTTGTTAGCAGTAGATTAGACTCTGTATCATAAATCATGTTGGACTTGTGTACCAAAGCAATACTCTGAAAATGTGTATTTTCATGGTCTTGTGAACGTTACATTTTAAGGCCTTTGTTTAGCTGATGCTCTAGTTTTTTGTTGCTTTAATCTTCTGGGAGGATTATTTTTCTAAGTTCAGTTAAAAATAGCCTTATGTGTGTGTTTTTTTTGTTTTTTGTTGGTGACCTTGTTTGACCTGTTTGCCATCACTCAGTCTTAACACAGAGGCCATTACTGATCACACGAGGAGGAGAACATTCAGTCCTGACTTTTGAAAACACGTCTGCTTTTGCCAAATTTCACACCGCGCCATCATGTACAAGATATGTGCAATAATGTTGGATCTGTTTTCTTGCCGTAGCCTAAAGCTCACTTCAATGATTGTTATTTTTTTATACTTTTATTTTGTGCATGTCTGTGACAATGAGCTGTATTGTGTTACAGGATATTTATCATTGGTAGTGAAGACAGTAAAGTACAACTCATACCGAGGAGAGAGTGCTATTTGTGTCTTGTTTGCTCTGTGGATGCTGATGTTGGCAGAGGGTGGTGGTATGCTGCAGGCTCCGGGGAAGTTGAGGGTATTTTCACAACATAATTGCAGCTTGAGCAACGTTTCCAAAAGTAGGCTCACGGGTCCCTGAAGACATCAGAACTACGGCAGAGGAAGAAGTATTCAGATTTAGAAGACTTAAAGGTCCTTTATTTGAAAAGTACTTCAGTAACAGTGCAGATGTCTTAAGAACAATATGAGCTTTAAGTATCCAAGGATACTAAATTCTATTATAACCTCCATAAAGGAAGGATTTTTATTTTCTTCAAAGGTTTTTTGGGGGCTTTTTGTGCCTTTATTGGAGAGATAGGACAGTGGATAGAGTGGGAAATCAGGGAGAGAGAGGGTGGGGAATGACATGCGGGAAAGAAACCACAGGCCAGACTCGAACCCGCCTGGAGGACCACAGCCTCCACACATGGGGCGCGCACTAACGACTGCGTCTATAGAGCCTCCCAAAGGAAGGATTTCTTGCAGGATTTTGCACGAGACTGAGTGGATTTAATGTCATTTTTCCTGATTATCGGGTAACTTGTCATGGCATGTTGGCAGAGAAGATTTGGCAAGTTTTTTTATGGGTGCAACCCACATTCTCAGCTCTGCTGCTCATCCCACAAATGCATGTTCCTTACAAATGTACCATTTAAAAGGGAAATAAACAGGCTTTCCAATGGTATAAGATTTATTGCCATTGTTGCAACAAATTAATAATCTACCAAACACAAATGTCCTTATTTTTTGTGATATGTTTATGTTGGACCAAATATTCAATCAGCACAACTTAGAAACTACAGCTGTCAGAATACTGTAGGGGAGTAGAAAGAGTAATATTTCCCTATGAAATATAAAGAAGTACACTGAAAAATTGAGTACTTCAGTAAAGTTTAAGGCCCTAAAACATTTTCCTTGTATGCAGTATTTGTGCATGTCCTCTTAGGGCTTCCGTAGAACATATTCCTGACCTTTAAATCCTATCAGGTCAAATTGTGCTTAACATGAAATTAAGTTGACTTTTGATTATTTCAGTTAAGAGGTGAACTGTAATGCAAGGCTGAGAATCAGGAGACAGCAAAATATACGCAGGTTAAAAAAAAAGCAAGATTAGTGATATACAGTGAATGATGAAAAAAGGTTTGGAAGAATCCGATGGATCTGAAACATTTACACAGAACTCATGAAAGTGTTTCTTTTATTAGATTCTGAGTTTCTTTAAACTCCTCAAAGCCGACGCTGCTGGATATTGTCAGGCTGCTGTTTCCATGACATTATTCTTGTGCGCAAGACTTTATTTTTATACTTTAAACTTATTGAGACAACAACAAAGAGCAGAAAAAAATTAAAGGGACACTTCACCTTTAATTTACACATAAGGTTCACTTTAATCCATAAAAGGCTACTAGGGATTTAAAGCCTGTTTCTACTTTAGGTAATTAATTAAATATATGCTGTCTAAAACTCATTTTGATAAATGTCATTTACTTTAAATAAAAAAAAAAGAAAATTTTTGGTGTTTGCAATATTCTGAATACAGCCTACTTTGGAGGCACTATCTGGGACTAGAGGAAGAATTGCATTATGGGAAATGTAGGATCCAGCAATTTGGGGGCTTGACCCAAAACATCTGACTTATGGTCCTCTGATCGCAAAAGCTGGAATCGCCCCCTGAAGTCGGAAACTTGGAGGAACTTCAGTAACCTGAGGTAAAATCCAACATGGCCGCTCAGTGCATCAACATGTTGTCATGTTACTTCCGCGCGCAAACTACTGTATCACGTAGCGTGTTGTTATCGTCTCTAGTAGCTAAAAAAAACAACCAAACCAACTTGTTCCTGGAACACGGCCAACTTGGGTGGGACGTCATATGCAGCTCCGACTTCATTTCAAACAGCCAACTCGGATTTTCCGACTTCTATGATCAAAACGAACGCACCAATGCAGCCTTCATAGGACACACAATCTAGGAATAGAGGGAAAATTGCATTATGGGAAATGTAGGATCCAACGTCTTTGGGGATTGTCCAAAACATCTGACTAAAGTCGTGGTATCTTGGCCTTAAAGGTCCCATATTCTGCTTTTTCTGGTTTTATCTGCTCTTTAGTGTGTTTTCCAAGTGTCCTGTGCGTGTTTAGGAACATCTATGTGCAAAAATTCAAACACGGCTTCTCCTACGTCCTCCTGTTAGCTGCAGCATTAGCCGCATGTAACGCTCGGTTCTAGCCCCCCTCGAAAAAATGTGTCAGTGCGACGTCTTGTCAGTGTGAGATCACTAATCTAAGCCCATTGGCTCGTTGTGGCAAGACCTGCAGCTTATGTTGAAATTTCCGAGACGCGTGCTGAGCAACTGACCAATAACGACAGAGCGGATCGCAGACCAATCAGAGCAGACTTGGCCCACGTGGGGTCTAACAGTGTGGGCTCAACAGAGTGTAGCTGACGGACTCAGAGCGTAGAGGGAGCAAGGAGGAGCAGTACATGAAAACAGACACTTTTTTCAGACTTTATCTATTGTGAACGTTCAAAAGTAGGAACATAGATTAAATATATGAACCCCAAAAAGGGCAGAATATGGCTCTTTAAACCTGATAAATCCTGATGTAAACTGACTTTGGTGAACCCCTGAACTTTATGGAAGAGAAAGGCTAAATTGTTGTAGTGCCTTTAATATTCTGCAAATGAAAAGGTGTTAACATGTTTGGTTTACCAGCACACATGGCCACCCCTCCATGTGCAGGGATGAACATTAGACTCATCAGAGGTTCTCCCTGCAAGGAAATCTCACCAGGTTGGGATGCCTGGTGGTTTTGATGTTGGTCTAAATAAAGCCTTCGTGACAATGAATCATCCTTTATAAAAAAAAAAAAAAAAGATGTATAATGTGTGAGTGTTTGATCTCCTGAGTGCAGTGTGGTGTTCAGCCCACAGAGGAGGAGTGGGAGCCTCCACAGCCTGCCTGTGATTGGCTCAGACACAGCTAACTCCATTTTGGAAAACAGCTGTTTGAAGACACAATCTTTTATTTTTTCCTCTCTCTCTCTCTCTTCTCTCTCTTTGTATTTTGAACGGGTATCCTGAGAAGAAAAAAACACCCAGTGCTTTTTTTGAACGCTTTCCTCCCTTTTTCATCCACAGTCAGCCTGCGTGCTCCAGTGCTGCGTTCACTGCTGCGGGGTTTTTTTTTTTCTCCCCGTTCATCTGCCTGGAAACTTATAAAGGGATCCATGGTGTTTCATTTCCATTGTAACAAGTGGATAGCAGGAGGCGACCCTACCAAGGTTAGTGGCTGTCTGTCTTTCTGTGTGTGTGTGTGTGTGTGTGTGTGTGTGGCTTTTGACTGGGGATTTACCTCGTTGGAAAAACGGTGTAGTTTTTTTATTTTAAAGTCTCGGTGAGAAAGGGCTTGGACGTGATTTTCGTGGGGCATTTTCCCGCTAATGTCAGACAATACATCTCTACGCAGACCGGATGGAAACACCGTCTTCTGGTCACTCGGTGTTGGTTAATTTTTAATAACATAATGCATGTCAATTATATTCTCATTTTCCTCGAATGTGTGAGGCGTTCAAGTGTGTCCATTATGCTTTTCGCCTCTGTCTGTAGTGTGTGTGTGTATATATGTGTGTGTGTGTGTGTGTGTGTGTAGATTAAAGGACTGGCATGCACGTCCTTCCCACACATTAGCTGCTGCATTCAGGAGTAGTTAGTTAATGACAGCTTGGATAGCATTTGAAAGCTCTCATCTCACCCTCTTATCGTCAGTGTGTTTTTTTTTTTCATATGCTGTCAAAGCACACATCCGACACCCCCCCCCCCCTTTACAAAATAGTGGTGGGAATTCCGGCTCTTTTCCAGTGTGCCAGATCATTTGGCTCAGTTCAGCAGTAAGAAGCAGCTCTTTCTACGGTGGCCAACAGATGACATTTCTTCTTCAAATATTCCCCATCAAAAGCAGATGTGATCCAAATACATGATGCAAAGTAAAAAAAATACTGATTTACCAAGACATCAAATGCAACAGAAAAAGGCCTATTTCTTGAAAACAGATGCACTCCAGGCCTCTAGGGGGAGCTATTTGAAACTGATTTTATGTAACAAAAAAAAACATTTTAAAGGTCCCATATTCTGCTTTTTCTGGTTTTATATGCTCTTTAGTGTGTTTTCCAAGTGTCCTGTGCATGTTTAGGAACATCTATGTACAAAAATTCAAACGCAGCTTCTCCTACGTCCTCCTGTTAGCTGTAGCATTAGCTGCATGTAACGCTCGGTTCTAACCCCCCTCCATAAAAATGTGTCAGTGCGACGTCTTGTCAGTGTGAGATCACTGATCTAAGCCCATTGGCTCGTTGTGGCAAGACCTGCAGCTCATGTTGAAATTTCCGAGACGCGTGCTGAGCAACTGACCAATAACGACAGAGCGGATCGGCAGACCAATCAGAGCAGACTTGGCCCACGTGGGGTCTAACAGTGTGGGCTCAACAGAGTGTAGCTGACGGACTCAGAGCGTAGAGGGAGCAAGGAGGAGCAGTTCATGAAAACAGACACTTTTTTCAGACTTTATCTATTGTGAACGTACAAAAGTAGGAACATAGATTAAATATAGAACCCAAAAAGGGCAGAATATGGGCTCTTTAAAGTAAAGAGAGTTTTGGCCACTAGTTGGAAAAACATGCCATGGATATTAAGCAAGTGCTCGCAGAACGGGCAGAGTAAGCGACTGTTAGCTGTTTTGCTAACTAGCTAAACATTCAGGAGCAGCGCCTCTTTTAACAAGGCTGTGGCTGTGTCCTAAACCGAGTACCTTCATACTATTCCTACTAAATACGACGTCTCATTGAGCATGTTGTATGATCTGAAATCAAAACAGGGAGCACACTGGTCATAAACCGCCCCACAATGCATTGCTGCTCTAAGACTATCCAATTGCAGAGCTCGCCAGCGGCA